AGCTGCCCAGCAAGTTCCATGTGGAGCGTGCCAGACCCAACGCATCGAGAGAGCTCCATTCATTCGACAATCGTCTCCGCTTCGAGCACTTCAAGCAGACCTCAACGTTACCACTTACTAAAGCTTTGTTAATGCCGCGCATCACCCGTCGCAAAGGTACTCAACCTCGTCTCAGTCGCGAAGGCGAAGGCGTATGGACCCCCGGCGAGCACGCACGCTTCCTCGAGGCGGTGGATCTCTACCCGCACGGGCCCTGGAAGCTCGTGGCCGCCCACATCGGCACGCGTAGCACGCGCCAAGCCATGACGCACGCGCAAAAGTACCGCCAGAAGCTCGAGCGACGACGTGGGCTGCGGAACGCGCAGAGCAAACGACCAAAGACGGTGACGCCAAGCTGGCCTACGTCGACAAGCGAGAGCGAGACTATGTTCAGCTTCGAGCTGCTCTTGATGTCAGACGATGGGATGCTTGGCGAGACCTTGCGGTGTCTGGAGCCATTTCCACTGATGACGCCCCATCCGATACTCTACGCGGACCCGGTGGCACCGGCGGTGCAGCCTGCGTGGGTGGATGACTGCATGAACTTCTTCGTCGCCAATTTCTCTTGATCGAAACTACTTCAAGTATGTGTGAACATCTCTTGACTAAATTTTAGTCATTGTAATTCAAACCAAAGTTGTACGATGTACTTCATAGATCACTTATACGCGCTCCATGCGTTCAACATTACATCGATCTCGTTGAATCTCGTTGCTTTCTGTTCCGGTGTTAGGATGGCGCCGGTCTTGATCCCCCACTGTTTGATCGGCCAGCGCTTAGCTCCAGAATAACTACGCACCAGTTGTAGAGGCACTCCCCACGCAACGAGAGCCGTCGAAGTCTACACTGCCGCCGTCCGCAAGCATCAAAATCATTAGCGATGCGAACCCAATAGCGACGCCAGCCAGGCGATAGAGAAGAAGACGCTCAGCACGATGTCCGTGTAGATATAGATGGCCCTGTACGCGTACTCGTCCACCGGCACCACTAGGAACATCCACTCTGCGTCCCACGCAAGCCAGGCCAGCAGAATGAACTGGAACAACCCGAACTCTGTGCTTGTCACGAAGCGCGTGCCGTAGATCATGAAAAGTTTGCACGACACACAGACCACCACTACAAAATACAGCGCTCCAGCCACGAGAGGCGACATGAGGTAATTGTAGATACCCTCCTTCTTGAGTCGGACACCAACCAGGACGATAATCAGGACTACTCATGTGAAGGTGGCGCCGCATTTGAAAAAGCCGATGTGAGTGTCAAAGATTACAACCAGCCCAACGAACGTAGCGGCCTGGGCAGCGCTGAACAACATGAGGATCAACACATTGACAAAGCGTCTGCTGCGTTCGAAGTAGAGAACGCGAAGCAGCATCAAGGTCACGGCTGCAGAGACACCCAGCAGCGCAGGGTTGTATTCAACGAAGATAGGAGCCACTCGGTCGCGCACAGGTAGGTAGGAGGTGGCAATTCCAACGGCGATGCACACTGCCAATATCTGCAACGCTAACACGAGCAGGAGTTTCCTGCGGAATGCAGCTTGAGAGGTTAATGGAAGTGAAGTACTCACATCCAGGAGCTCCTCTGAGACGCATCCCTTGTTCCAACATTCGATTCGCCGTAAAACGTAGTCGGGCTTTGTTTCTGTCGGCAATGGCAGAACGGGGTTGCCACCTTCTCTCGGGCATGAACTCCTTTATTGTCGCATGTCAATTTCGAGCAGGACGAAGTCGACGCTCGAGTCATGAGTAGCCAGCGACGGTGCGGAAGGCATCGAGGAGAATGGGTCTTTAGCCTCGATCCGTTCTCCTCAGCAACAAGGAGTTAATCTGTAAATGTGTCGGCCAGGGCCATCGAGTTTTGACGAGTTGCCAACATAGCGACTCGAGTCCTTCGTAACGGAGGCATCTTGCAAAAGTCAGTGGAAACGCCCATAAACTAGGGCCAAATCCACTTCATGCAAGACAGACTGTCATGTCTGACGATTAACGTAACGGGTCACGAGAGTTCATAGACGAATGGGTGCAGGTCCACCGCCAGATATTCGCATTCTGCAACGTCTTCGTTGTCAGCGCGATCGCACTTGGAGTATCCAGCAATATCATCGCGATCACAAATGCAGGAACGAAAATCAAGGCTTTACATTTTCTCCGATGACAGCAGATCAACGTCGGTTTCTTCAGCGCTATCACCGATACAGTCGATAGAGTTTGGTTGCTGAGACGACTGGATTCGCTGAAGCAACGTCTGAAGCTCGAGGTTGAATGCCGTAGCTACGACACCCGAGAGCTTATTGTCTCTTGGTAACGTAGGAGAAATAGCAGCTGATGGATCTCTATTTGCACGAGTAGAAGGTCGACGTGGACCTCCACGCGGAGGTGCGCGAGGCAACGCAAACATGTCATCGGTAGGAGGTGGAGGCAGAATTGCGTTATCTGCGGGTGGTATTGGTGGTGTCGATGGTATCAGAGGATCATGATCAACCTGTTTCGTGAGGCCTGGTACGCGATGCGCCAGCACATCACGTAGCTCGCGAACAAAATGTGGCGTTGGGCCTGATGACTCCGGTGTATCTGCCTCCTGCTGCTTTAAAAGTGAAAGTAAATCAAAACTATCATCGCCAGTGCTCGTTCCAGTAAAAACAACCGTGCAGTTGGGGTCTTCTGGAGCGACAGAAGAGGTTAAGGCTACGACTTCGATCGGCTTTGACTCGCAACTTTCGTCAGCTTCTTCATCCGCTGGCATGTCTTGGGGGTTCTTATCACCTTTCAAAGCGCTCAACGCGTTGTCATAATTGCTCCACGTTTCCTGTAATTGCTGGACCATAGATCGCATCGCATCACGAGAGCTATCCAAACTATTTGACGCAGATTTGACCGACAGAAGCTCATATTGAGCCGCGATGACCAGTGCAGTGAGAGTCTCACTCGTAGATCGCAAATCTTGGAGCTGTGTAGCGACGCTTTTCAGGCGAGGATCGTCTGGAGTTGGAGGTGTTATTTGATACTGTTGCTGTCGCTCTGGTGAATTGGTGCGTGAGGAAGTAAGCAGTGCCACAGGATCTTTCGTGCTATTCCATGCCTCAAGATCAGCAGTCCACAGGCTCAAAGCTTTGGTCAATTGGTCAACTGCAACTTGATGTGACCCTAGTATGAAAAGAAAACTGCAGTTCATCTTGCTATCGCGAGAAGAGCAAACGCCAGCCATACTTCGCATAAGTGCCGCATGGACAGCGTTTTCGAGTAGTAGCACAGCTCGGTTATGCTGCTTCGACAGCGCCGTCAGCAGCAGTGACGGAGCTCGCTTGTCCATGTCGTCGCCTATGTCATCAAGCTTCTGATTTTTCGTATCCGTTGTCTGCTCGGCCTCCTGCATAAATGTGGAGGCTTGTATCTGCAGTTGATCATTCAGTGCTCTCAGTTTTCTTCGTAGCGAAAGGCAGCGCAAACGGTTCTTTGCAGCGGATACAGCGGCGCCCTCATCATTGTTACCAGGCTCTGCGTTGCTCGCCTCCAACCTACCGATAGGCGGCAGCAAACCAGCTCCAAGTCGATACCCTCGACTCGCCAGCTCTGCGCGCTTCACTAATGTCAAACTGCTGGCATAAACCTTGTTGAATTTCTCCAATGTCCCTATAAAACCATTCAGCGAAGCCACAAGTCGCCCCGAGCGACGTACACACCAACCAAGAAGCAATCGCATGCTCAACTCCAACCACAGCAGCACAAACACAGCGATTGTAACGACCCACTCCATCGCCCACAGTATTGAAACCCCCTCGCTACCCCAGCTAGACGCCACCGTCGCTATGGCAGCCACTGAAGCTCCTCCGACCGTCGCACAAACTCTCCAAAGCTCCTCCGCAGCCATCTCAACTCCACTCAATACTTCAACCACTGCAACATGTCTTGCCCACCAGCCCCCATGAGACTCAAACAATATTGCAGCCTCACCGCTCGCTGCCTGCTGCAGCTCCTCCCTACATATCGCGCACAAGGGATAATTAATTCACTGCCATTTGCGTCAACTGCTTTAAGGTTCCGCTCACCTGATCGTCGGATGGAAGGCACAGAGCTCGGGAAGCAGCCGACGAGCTGCTACCAGCTCGAGTCGATATCGTAGACTATGGGCAAATTGCATCCAGCTCCAGTTACGTGGCTCTTGTCTGGTTGGACGTCTCGGACGCTTCCTTGAAGCCACAGGTCGCGAGTCAGACAGCAATTGCGCCATGGATTCGCCCCCATCAGCCTCCAGTTCTGCGCACAGCAAAAACGCGCAAATGCAGTTAATTTTTGGTTAAATGCGTGCTGCACTATCGCCGCCATACCGGCCAGATACTGTCCTAGCGGCGAGCTGGACGCCACTGCGATCTCCATCAGCGTTGTCAGTGACCAAAGTTACTTTTAGTCCCACAAAAATGTTACTTTTAGCCACATATCAAATTTTAGACTACTTCAGATCCAGCCGTATTTTTATTTATTTTCCCATTCTCATTCGCACCACGTGGAGCTCAATCGAGTCAAAGATGCTGAGTCGGCGGCTGCTCGTGCTGCTCGCGGCGGCGGCGCTGGTGCTGAGCGTTGACGCCGTGGATCGCAGCAAGTTCCGCACATGCGAGAAGACCCAGTTCTGCAACAAGTTCCGCAACGTGCAGCGCCAGGAGCTGCCCAGCAAGTTCCATGTGGAGCGTGCCAGTATCCGGACCGACACGGACGCCAATTTGGTGCGTTTCCTGGTGGAAGACGTGGCTCAGAAGGGCGGTGTCCCACTTGCAGGCTCCCTCGCCTTCGTGCTTAACGCGGATAAGGCGGCGGTGCCGGCGCTGCGCGTGCGGCTGCAGGAGAAGTTCGAGGATCCGAAGGACCCCAAGACACGCTGGACCAGTGCCGACATTCTCGTGCCTGCAGCTGAAGAGACCCGCCCGCTACGCCAATTGACGGCAAAGGAGGCGGGACTCAAGATTCCAATTAACGAGGAAAACGTGTTGCTGTTCGCCCCGGAGACAGAGGGGGCGACGAAGGTCGTGGCTGCCTTGAAGTTAGGCGAAGGATCTTTTGGTGTGGACTTGTACCTGGACGGAGAGAAGGTGGTGTCCACCAATGACGACGGTCTGTTCCACTACGAGATCCGACAGGACCGCGTGGATGCTGCGGCGCAGGCTGACGCTGCGGCGGACCAAGCGGCAGTGGATGCTCATGAGGGGAAAACCATTGTGGACTATGGAGAAGACGGTCTCGCTATCTATGATGACGGTACAGTACAGAAGAAGGAGGAGCAATCAGCCACTAGGACAACTACGGTTGACGCTGATGGGAACGTGGAGGGATGGGAGGAATCCTTTGGAGGACACACGGACAAGAAGAAGTTCGGTCCCAGTTCAATTGGACTCGATGTATCGTTCCACGGATCAGTTGGAGCTCCACGCTCGCTGTACGGTATTCCAGAGCACGCCTCGGATTTCGTGCTCAAGGATACCATTGAACCGAGTGATGAAGGGGAGGACAAGAGGAAGGTGGTGACCGACCCGTACCGGTTGTACAATCTGGATGTGTTCGAGTACGAGCTGGACAATCCCATGGCTCTGTATGGCGCTATCCCAGTGCTCGTGGCACCGAACAAGGAGAACACGGTCGGTATGTTCTGGAACAATCCCAGTGAGACGTTCGTGGACATTTGGACCAACGAAGAGGCCAATAGCAAGTCTAGTCACTGGCTCAGTGAGTCTGGTGTCTTCGATCTGTTCTTGCTAGCGGGACCTAGCAGCGCTGATCTGTTCTCCCAGTACACGCTGCTTACAGGTCGTGCGCAGCTTCCACCACTCTTTTCTTTGGGTTATCACCAATGCCGTTGGAACTACAAGAACGAAGCTGATGTGGCGCGTGTTGATGCTGGCTTTGACGAACATCTGATCCCTTATGACGTGCTGTGGCTGGATATTGAACACACGGACGGAAAGCGTTACTTCACGTGGGACGAGCATGCCTTTCCTACGCCCAAGGACATGCAGGAGTCCGTGGCACATACTGGCCGTAAGATGGTGACTATCGTCGACCCGCACATCAAAGTGAGTCAGTCGAAGGATAAGCAGCCGTACTACATTCATACTGAAGCAGAGGAGCTGGGACTCTTCATTAAGGATGAACAGGGCAACGACTTCAAGGGCTGGTGCTGGCCGGGCGAGTCCTCGTACGTCGACTTCACATCTCCTAAGGCGCGCGCGTGGTGGCGTCACCAATTCCGCTATGAGAACTACCAGGGAAGCACCAAACACTTGTATACTTGGAACGACATGAACGAGCCGTCAGTCTTCAACGGTCCCGAGGTTTCTATGCGCAAGGGATGCATGAGTCTTGCAGGCGTGGAGCACCGTGAATGGCACAACCTGTACGGTATCCTCTTCCAGCGCTCGACTATGGAAGGTCAACTTGTTCGCCAGCAGCCTCCTCCTGAGCCTCTGTCGGCCTTTGCTGAGGAGCTACAGCTTACGTCAGATATGCAGCGTCCGTTTGTGCTCTCGCGCGCGTTCTCCGCAGGTTCGCAGCGTTACGGAGCGATCTGGACGGGCGACAACACGGCTGAGTGGGGACATCTGCGTTACGCCACCAAGATGCTGCTGTCCATGTCCGTTGCTGGACTTACGTTTGTGGGCGCTGATGTGGGCGGATTCTTTGGCAATCCGTCCACGGAGCTGCTCACGCGATGGAACCAGGCGGCTGCGTATCAGCCGTTCTTCCGCGGCCACGCTCACCACGACTCGGCTCGTCGCGAGCCGTGGGTATTCGGTGAGCCAACCACGTCGCGTATCCGCGCTGCCATTCGCGAGCGCTACTCGTTGCTGCCGTATATTTACACGCTCTTCCACACGTGTTATGCGCGAGGTATGCCCGTCATGCGTCCGCTTTGGGCGCACTTTACACTGGAACCTCAGAGCTTCAGCGAGGAGGACCAGTATCTGCTGGGCGACGCTCTACTAGTGAAACCGATCGTCGAGGAGGGCGTGGAGGCCACACACGTGTTCCTTCCGTCCGAGAATGCCGAAACTAAGACGGTGTGGTACCAGGCGACGGACGGATACAAGCGTTTCTTCGGTGGCAAGACATACGAGAACGTGCCGGCAACGCTGGACGCCATCCCAGTGTTCCATCGAGGCGGTACTATCCTACCGCGTAAGCAGCGTGTTCGTCGCAGCTCGGAGTTGATGCGTGACGATCCGCTGACGCTGGTGGTGGCGCTGGACCAGCACTTTGAGGCTCGCGGCGACGTGTACGTGGACGACGAGCGTTCGCTGGCTGCTGAGCTGGAGGGTGAGGGCACGGTGGTGACGTTCCACCAGACGAAGGAGGGACTGCGGTCGACGGCGACTGCTGCTACACCGCAGGGCAAGCGTTACACGTCGCTCATGTGGGTGGAGCGCATCGAAGTGTACGGCTTCCAGTCCGAGGCCAACTTGCCCAAGCAGGTGCTGGTGGGCAGCGAGCGCGCCGTGGACTTCCAGTACGACGCCGCCAGTGACCGACTTGTGCTGCGTAAGCCGCAGGTGCTGGTCACGGACGACTGGGAGCTGCGCTTCGTATACGACCAGGCGCTCGAGTAATCGTAGAGGTGAAGAGTGCAGGCTGTTGAAGTTGTCAAATCAGATAAAGACCATGCTATGCCCCGTCGCCGACTGCAGTGTAACACGTTTCACTGTTGATGCACGAGGTGATGCAGCACATAAATCCAAATTCACTAGAGTCTTGCCTGCACAGGTTGCTAGTACATGTACTCTCTATGGGGACGACATAACTATTCATCACTACGTCTTCGATTCGGATCTATCCAGCACCCAAGCTTTTTATCTTCTTGGTCGGGCGGGTTAACTTGTGCTGGAGCATTTGAGCACGGCGCATGGAGCACCGGCAGGTACAAGTGTAATGGTATGAAATCAACAGCCACGCCTGGTTGCATAGGCTTGCATCCGTCCGTCTGTCCTTACCGGGACCTTTCCTCACATCTTGCAATTGCGTCGAACAGCGGGTACAGTACTGCACCCTGTTTGGCCCCCCCCCTCAAACTTTTGATAAACTTCCGGATATATAGTGCTCGTTTTACAAAATTTCCTTGGATTTCTACTCTGAAACCTGATGTATTTGCAAATTCTATACTCTACACTTCCGCCAAATCGGTGTGCATTACTGTACTGTATAAGCGCCATAGTCACTATTGTAGTCAGCACAACAAGTCGGATGTCAACCCATGTTTTTGCTGTCCGGAAAGGCAGCGATCCCGTTACTCACGCACTTCAACTTCGAATTAAAGATCGCCGTGTGTTTTGAGAAAAAGTGAATGATTCGCAGTGGAATATTGGGAATCGAGTTGAAATCGATGGCGACGCGTGCTATTATACATGTACTGTTGCAACCTAGCTGCAGCATTCCACTCAGACGCTCTTTCGAATGTCAGCGCGAGCGACAGAAGACGTTGTCGAATGGCGTCGAACAAAATCCTGATGGACGTCGAATCAGTCTTCCAGCTCTTCTTGTCCCCCATTTCGTCGCCATCTGTCCGTTACGGTCGCCTGATGCTGACGGCAGTATAATACTCAAGACGAAAGTTGTACCGCAACAAACGTCTGGTTGCAGCTACCGTAGTCTCTCTTGAAACTCGGGGTGCAACTGGACGCAACGTCAGCGGGGAGAGGAAAGTACGCTTTCGCGCTCCCTGTTTGGAGCCTTCCCGGCGCTTGCCGGCCCTCGATTCCTCCTGCCTCATTCTCCTTTTCACCCTACTCGAGGCAAACCTCCAGTCCCGACTTCTCCAGTAGCGTACAGTACTCTCACGATGAAGCTCAGCGCCATCTTGATCGCCGCTGCCGGCATCGTGTCGACTACCTCGGCTCAAGCCACTACCTCGACTGCTGGCAGCGCTGCTACCACTACGGTTGCCCCCACGACGTCAAGCACGGCTTCATCGTCGGCTGGTGCTACGACTGCCAGCTCCGGCACCTCCACCGCCACGGTGTCGTCTGGAGACGATGTCTTCGCCAACCTCGAGACCCAAACGTACCCCAAGGACTCGTACCACATGCCTGCGGTTCGCGCCGTGCACGCCCGTGTGCAAAGTGACGCTCCGATCCTCGTGGACGGCGTGTTCGTGTCGAGCTTCGGTGATGGCGAACTCGAGGCTGGTTACTTGAGTGGCATGGACACAGTCAACACTGCGTCGGTGGAGGGTGCACTGATGTACGTCCAGGCTGAGGGCATCAACATCAACGTCCGAGCAGAGGAGGAACGCTGCGAACGTAAGTCTGGCATGTCCAACATCGTCTTCTACGAGATCATCATTGTGCAGACGAACGAGACGCTTGCCCAGTTCCAGGAATCATGGGGCAAGACACCCGAGTACGGCCCCATGCTCCCCATGGACAGCGGTCGTTGCACTCCTCTCTCGGGTGACGACGACTTCCCTGCTGGCTGCCTACAGTTCAACGGTGACGACGACCAGCCCAATGTTGGGCCATTCGTCGGAGGTGGCATCAAGGATGACGACGTGCGAGCTCCGTACCCAGACAACTACTGGTTCTCCTTCCCCGGCACATGTCCGCTCAAGGCCTGGGGTGACAAGACGGACGAATGCCGCAGCAGTACTCGCAAGGGTCTGTGCAGCTACGGCCAAGGTCCGGACGGTGTGGACTGCACCTTCGCTTACAACATTCTCGGTTGGGTGACTATCGACGATATTGTCGGGATCACTGCCATTGAGAACCCGGACACGGGCGCTCCGTACGCCAACTTCACCGAGTGGTGCATGGCTGACTCCAACAACACGGAGTTTGCTGCTAACGCTGAGACTGGCGAGATGGAGACGGGTCTGCCATTCTGGGAGGATCCGCTCAACTCGACTGCCAACGCTGCTCGCGCTGCGGCTGCGGTGGCCAAGTACGAGGAGACTCTGCAGTCGGGCTCTTCGCAGATTGAGGATAATCTGATCGCTGCCTTCCGTGCACTGCCCACACCTGAGGAGCTTGCTGCTTCCAACCCGCCGTGCTACAAGACCGTGGAGGCCTGTGGATCGGGCAACGGATGCAAGCGTGTAGGCTACTCCCAGTTGTGCACTGAATGCACAGCCGATGAGGGCTGCTCCACGAGCGAAAGTGGCTTCGAGTATCCTAAGTTGGAGAAGGCTTACACGACGTTGTCGGAGGACGAGACCACCACCAATCTGGGTGGCTCGAGCAGCGGCAAAAGCTCGACTGCTTCTGGCTCGACTGCAGGATCGAACGGTGACAGCGCTGCTGCTCCTCTGACCTTGACTGTTGCTTCGGTAGCAGTGGGTCTCATGACGGCTGTGCTTGCTCTGTAAATCGATTAGAAGATGCATCGAATAGATCGAGAGGAGCCTCGGTCGGTGTCCAATTTGCTTCCGAGCTTTTGATAGTAAATAAAAAAGGTGTCATTGTTTTGATTGTGTCTTGATTCTTTGACGACACGAGTCCCTGTTGCTAAGTGCAGTAGCACCTACTCCACTGGAGTCTCCAGGGTAACTAATTGTAATGGTCGGCGTGGTTGTTATTATGTGTTCTTTAGAGCAACCAATTTCTGACAGTACATACGCCGCTGACTTCACTGCAAGCCAAGATAGTGCCATAATTTTTGGCTGTTGCTGCTGGTGGTCAGTTGGCAGATATTTTACCAACAACGTTCCTTACTGCCACCTAAGGCCTTGATAGAACCTCTTTTTTTGTGTTTTATAGCTTCTTTCAATTTCTTAGTGTAGAAGTAGTATTTGCAGCAGTGTTAGTTGATATTGGACAGAATAAAAGACGGCCCCAGATTGATGCAGACCGGCACCTTCGTGCGAACCAGATACTGCCTGGTCCTTCAACTCGCTTGCTCCAACACGGCCATCTTGTTGAGCCTCCTCTTCTATGTCGAGTACTTGAACATGAAATGCGCAGTACAGCTCGCAACAATCCCCGCGTTCACAAAAGCCTAAAAAGCAATATGCATTCTTGTTTTTTTTTCATCGGTCCATACTCTCCTCTTCATCTTTGCACTCCTTTCAAAAAAAAAGAATCTCCACTTCTCTCCTACATCAGCAACAGCCGCTCTTGGCCTTGCCAGTGTCCACGTGGGTAGCTCCTCTCACTCTCAGTCCGCTACTTCTCGACGCCCCTGGACTGAATCCGACGTCGTCATCCTCCACAATTTGAATCGGTTGTCCCCTCCCTCCACCGCGACTTCTGGGCACTTCCTCTGTTCTGTTCACTTGTGACTGCGTCTGCATATGCTGCGCCTGTTGCGTCTGTGGCTGCGGTCGTGCCTTGCTGGTCGGAGGTTTAGCCAACGGCTCGTCATCCTCGTCATCGTCATCGGCAATCAACGCGCTTCCTTTCTTCTTCTTGCCGCGCGTACGACTCAACATGCGACGTGTGAGCTCCACAAACACATCTTCTAGTCCGCGATTGAGCTTAGCGGACGTGTCAAAGTGTGCAGCGCCCACCGACTCGGCGTAGCGCTTGGCCTCGTCCTCAGGAACCTTCCGGTTACGATGCAGATCGCTCTTGTTACCGGCGATGCAAATAGAGATGTCGTCCCCCACGATACGTCGCAGTTCACGCACCCACGTGCGGACTTTGCGGAAAGACTCGGCGTCCGTGATATCGTACACCAGCAGAGCTCCATCAGCGTCGCGGTAGTAGATGGGGCCTAAGGCGTGGAAACGTTCCTGACCCGCTGTGTCCCAGAGCGAGAGCGCCACACGACGATTATCCACGAGCAGTCGCTTATCCAAGTATGAGGCCTGTAGTGTCGACACCTGCCGTTCGTCGTATTCGCCCTTGATGTAACGTAGCAGGATGGACGTCTTACCCACGCGACCTGCGGGAAAGAATTCGTTGTTAGAGGGGGGAAATGGAGGCACGTGAGAGTGAATGTTTTACCTTCGCCTAATAGGACGACCTTGAACTTCTTGGTGGAGCGTTCGCCCATTGCTGCGACTTAGTCTTTGCCAAGGGGGTGGAGCTATAGGGAGAGCACTAGTCGAGCCGGTGAAGTCGCGCTTTTTGCCTCCTGCTTCTTTTTCTTTGTAGTGTTGGGTTTCAGCCAATTAGGGGTGTTCAGTTTTCGGATTGGATGAAAATGGTAATAATGGCTGCAGTGGTGTAATCACACACTTCAATCGAAGATGCTGCGACGCCGAGTGCGGACGGAGCTGCTGCTACGAGGCCGCAGGGCGACGTCCAGCACTTCGAGACGGCTGGATCTGGATGAGATCTTGGGCAAGAGGCTTCGTGCGACGGCCAAGGAGCTGTCGGTGGAGGTGCTACCGGCGCTCAAGGTGCTGTCCGAGAGCCTGGGGTTGCTACGTCAGAGTCCTGCCTTCAAGAACTGGAGCGCAGCTGATTGGCTGGTTGGACTATCCGTCTTAGCTCAGTACAAGACACAGCAGCGTGCCGGCGGAATCCATAATGATGCTCATAAGAAGCCACTAGTGATGGACAAGGTACTGTGTTAACGAAACGTTGGTTTAACTTTACTTGTATAAGAATGGTGCAATCCTCGCAGGTGCTGCTATCCAAGCTCCTGCGATACGTGCGCGTGTGCGACGCCGTATACGCGTCCTCGATCGCTTCGTTCTGTAAAGAGGCTAGTGTGCCACGGGATAGAGTACTACGAGCGCACCCGGGCGGCGTCGTGTCTCCTAGGTGCATCATCTTGGCGGACCACGAGCATCAGGAGCTCGTGTTGGTGGTACGCGGTACCGCATCGTTATTGGATTTCTGCACGGATCTGTGTCTACAGAATGAGCCGTTCCTAGATGGTCAGGGCCATCGCGGTATGGTGCATGCGACGACGTGGCTGGTGCGTCACCTGCGCGGCGACCTGCAGAAGCTGTCGGAAAGGTATCCGGACTACAAGTTGGTGGCGACGGGCCACAGTCTAGGAGCGGCGGTCGCAGCAATGAGTGCCATGCAGCTAAAAGAAGATTTCCCGGATATTCAGTGCTACGCTTTCGGTACTCCGGCGTGTTTGACGCGAGAGTTGGCAACGGGCAGCTATGATCTCGTGACCACGGTTGTGAACGGCTACGATTGCGTGCCTCGGCTGCACCAGCACTCGCTTCTAAAGCTGCAAGACGAGATTAGTCGCTTTGACTGGCGAACAGCGTTGAGACACATGGTGTCGGAGGAAATTCGAAAGCAGAAAATTGCTGTGGAAAAGCAGCAGCGTGCTAAGTTAGAAGAACTTCAAACAGCGCTACGGAAGATGGACCATTTACACTTGAAGCAGCGGACAAGCGAAGCTACGGCCAAGTTGGATGAGGTGAAAAAGGTACGCGATTGCTGTCTATGTTTGGTAGGAATTCTGACTAACGGCATTGCTTATTAACGTGTATATTGTGAAGCTTGCTTCCAATAACATTAAGGAATTCGCTAGCGATGTGGATTCGCTTCTAGCGGACAAACTGGACGCCGCTTTCTCTGTTTTCAAGACGGACAAACTGTCGTTGGAACATGTTTCGTTTATTAAGAACCTTTTGAACCTTGAAGACGTCAAGAAAGGTAGATCTTTTTTTTTCTTTCGAGTCGAGATCAGTAAGTTTTTTTCTCGTCTAACTCACGTACGTGGTTTCTTGACGACGCAGGTGATTCTTTTTGGTGGAAGCGCATGGATGAGAGCGTTGTTGCTCTTGAGCGGCTGTCAGCTGCTGTCAACAAGCCTGAGGAGCTCGAGCGTGTACTGGTGGAACTGAAGGAGGTTCTGCACAAGACATCTGAAAGTACGAAGAGGTTACTCAAAAGTGACGATGATCCTGGTGAGTTTACTTTTTACATGTGCGTCAGGAGAAGATGCCTAACTCCTGTTTTGGTTATTGGAGATGCCACAGAATCCTCCCAGCTGCAGCTGTTTCGCTCTCGAATCGACGATATCGTCGACAAGACACGCGCATCGCTTAAATCACGGATTAGTGAGCAAGTGTACGGATCTTCACCATATTATGTTCCTGCGAAGACATTGTCCGTGGATTAACCGGTAGTTATGTCTTCGCAGGTCAAAGGTGTCCACCGCTGTCACTTCTAATGTGAAAAACTATGTCGACACGATAAAGGAAGAGACCGAAGCTTTAAGCTCCATTGTGCAGGAAGAACTGGACGATGTTGCGGGGAAGATTTCACAGAACTTGCCGTTTCTGATGGGGGTGAACTGTGAAAACGAATCGAGCACTGAGAAGTCCACCCATGCAGCTATCCTGGAAGAGAAAGACAAGAACGACAGCTTCGGTGAGGTTTTTGCAGACACCGATCCTTCAGAGCGATTTGAGCCGGAATCGAGTCAAGAGACTGAGCAGGAATGGGAGCAGCTCAATCAGGACCAAGAGCAATCGGAGGACGATAATATGCTGCTTCACGATCCACTGTTTCCCCCTGGACGCATTCTCTACCTCAATCGTGTGATCGCTCCGGGGCCGTCACTAGAAACCGACGACGACGTGAGTATCAAGACTTTAGGCAATAGCCACAAAGTACCAGATGTGGTGGAGTTCGTGGAGGTCGCAACGGACGAGTTTGGTCGAGTCGTGCTCTCGAATCGCATGCTGCTTGATCACCTCTGCACAGACTACGAACGAGTTCTCCAATCACAGGCGAAGATGCTGGAGCGCACACCCTAGACTTCAAACTACCATAGACATATATCCATTACACAAACAAAAATCTACCTAAGGTGAGTCCCCAGCACGTTGAGACGCTTCTCGTTCCCCAGTAGGCGACAGCGGTGGCAGACTCACGCGCACTTCGCGAGCTGCACACGTGAGGAAGTTGAGCATGGCTGCACTGCGACTGATAGCGGAATGCATGATCGCGGCCTGTAGGAACATATTCAAGGCTTCTTGTCGATACTTCGCCACTGGTGCTCGTGTGCTCGGAAGAAAAGTCCGTGGAGGGAGAGGTGGAAGGCCTTCCAAGACGTATCCTGCGCTCTCCAGCGTTGCACACAACTCGCGGAATTCACTAAACCGACGGAACACTGTCCATTGGTATGGCCCACCGTACACTTGGATCTGGAAGACGCTGAACGATAGCAGTTTATCGATCGCTCGGTTCGGTACATTGGCGTGAGCATCTTTGTTCTGTAGATGGCAGACTTCAACACGCACGGAGCGTAGAGGTTGAGACCGCAGATCATCGTTCGAGAGGCCAGAGACTGTCGTATCCTGCACGCTTTCCATCAGCACATGCAGGTCTGTACGGTCTTCGTCGTTGTTCATCAGGCCTGCTGCTCCGCTTCCGAAGCGTCCACCACCAATGATCCGAGACTCCTCTTGACTCTTTTCCAGATTCAGAAGCAAGTACCGAGTGGCGGAAACGTCTACACGTGCTGAGTCCACCGCTACTCGGAAGTTGGTCGCCGCTACTTCATTGTCGCATTCGATATTGTACGACCGAGATGGAGATGTGGTCTGACCGATTTTGAGGGTAGCACCTTCCACGACGACCTCCAACGTCGAGTCAAGAGCCACCTCCCACAATTTTTGACCAGTTTTGCCGCTCAAACATATTAGTCGCTTGTCTGTCAGCAACAGCAATCCACGGTGTGGCTCGATACCGTAGTCCACATGATACACGTAGCTGTACAATTACATTCAATTAGCAAGGCTGCCAGGTATGGAACGATTCCGTTGGTACGTACTCATCTGTGGCATCCAGCGACGTCAGCAGCAACACCGCATAGCCTCGAGCTTCTCGATCCGAGTAGGACACTAGAACACCGTCCGAGCTGTGAGGAAAAATAAGCTATATGATCAGCTACAGAAATGGAATCAGCCAATCTCATATACACGTACCAGATTCGCCGAGGTAGCCTGAAGCGTGTGACTGTGTCAAACGCGTTGCGATCTGTGCCATCCAAAGATTCCGCGCTTGTTTTCGCTCCTCGCGAAAGACTCGTAAGCAAGTCCAAGAATCCAGCTGTGGGTTTCACAATTAGCCCCGCGACGCCCTTACCGATACCCACGACAAATCCACCAGCGCCATCTTGTTCTGCACCACGCACTGGAGCAGCCACAACGCCCTTGATACCATCCCAAACACCCCCAACAAGTCCCTTACTACCTTCTGCAATTGCATCACCCAAGTCGTTGATCTTTTTTATCTGTCGGGTAGAGGCACGCTGTCTCTGAACGTTATACTGTTCATCCATAGCCAACAACGCGATACCCTTCCCAAGCGTCTCTGTAATCTTGCCAGTCGTGTGAAAGATGCCCACCGCTGTGTTCCTCAACAAACTTTTGGAGCCCTTGGTCATGCCAGTTCGCAAATTGTCGATACGCAGACCATTTTCATCCTCCAGCAGCATCTGAGCCGGTGTATAGAAGAAGTCTTTAACTCCGGTACCCAGGGTGCTCACTAGACCAATCGGGTTCCCCAGGAAATCGACAGAGCCCATAATACTGTACCAGCTGCGCAAACCGTGGTGCAGATAGTGCTGCATGGCATAGAATGCGAGCGTGTGCGTTGTTTCGAGCAGGTTTTCCACGTAAAACTCCGGTATTCGAATAGGTGCTTGGTCTAGATTGGATACCAGCGCTGCTGCTGCGCTGATGAGCGTGCTTAGAACAGACGACATGTCCGGAGACAACTACAAGAACAAAGTACAAGGGATTAGTGGCAAGATAATCGAAGAAAAAAAAAGAATAATCAAACCACGTACCAGTGACAGCAGCAACGACCGGTCTGCCGTGCTAGTAAATGTCACGTTGACCTTCACAGGACACAGCAGGAGCCATCGCAACAACACCTTCATGTTTGCCCCTCCACCGTCCCTTGTACTACCCAAGCGTCCACCCGCAGCTGTGGACAGTAGCGTGGGGGTAGACCACTCGATCTCCAATAACTTCAGCGCTAAGTTCGAGCCGAATTCATCTCCAGGTCGCTTTTTCTTCTTGCTAGTACGAGTATTCGACGCCGTGTGCGACCACTCCACTCCCGAGAACACATGAGCCAACGCCACCAGCGTCGCGTCTTCCAGTTTGATCTCCAACTCTTGAAGCTGACCGAAAATGTAGTCGAACTGGATCACATTGGGCTGTCGACTGAAGACCGCCATGAGCTGCACTGTCGGCAATAGCATGGGGCTATCCGCATCATTATTCTTCCCTCCTTTCTCGCGAGACATCGTGTAGCCTTCTTCTTGCATTTGTGCGTCTACAAGACGCATCGGACGCAGTAACACCGGGTAATTCGTGTCTAGCAATTGGTTGTCGATCTGGAAGTGCCCAAAGCGTGCATTAATAACTTGTTTCCCGTCCGTAATTTGGCCGTAGCTCAACTGAACGCCTGCAGAAGCGTTTTGGTCAGAGAGCGAGATGCACAGCACCTCCTGTGGCTGTTGAGGGCCTGCTGCAGACGTCACTGAACTCCATGCGCCATCGTCCACGACCGATATGCAGATACGCGCAACTTCAAGCTGGAAATGAAGACTGAGATCTCCTTGTTGGTGAGCTGCTCGTAAGGGATTAATGAAATCCCACTTGAGTGCTAGTCGTAGCTGTCCAATCATCTCTAACGCTGAGTGTTGGTGCGTACGTTGTTGTGGCGAGTACAGCGCACAGATCCGCTCGTTGAAGGTGAGAGCAGAAGGCTCAGCCATCGGGTTCCCGTCCATCGACATCGGATTAGCGGCACTAGAGAGAGAAGACGGGGGTAAGGGCACCCAGCACTCGGCTAATAGCACGTCGAAGCGAGAGTCTTGTTTGCTGTGATCGAGATGATCCATCATTGCATCATCACCGAAGAAGTACAGGAACGGCACAATACTTGACTCTTGCGAGGCTGACAAGCCGTGGTCGGACGTCTCGTTCCGGAGATACACACGCACCAGTACCTGGTCTTCACCAGAGCCCGCGGCAGGCTTTTTGTTGGCTGTTTCAACGAATTCCACGCGACGATTCCACTCCGCATCATACTTCCGTACACCAGTGTCGTCGTCTGTTGCTTGAGCACACGGAGGCCTCGATGTATCACTGAATCTCATACGCTCAGGTGTCGTCGGCTGGTACAAGAACGACAGAGTAAACGTCGCTGATGCTTGCTCCGGAGTCGGTGTTCCAACGCCCTCTCCCCAATGCATTGCCTTCTCAATCACAGCAAACGACGCATCGCGATGGAGATTGACGATGGACTTGTTGTTAGCTGCGACCACCGTGTCACCAATCCGAATCTTGCCTTCGTAGACAAGAGCTCCACATGGGCCATCACATACGACACCCTGAACGAGCACACGTCCGTTGCGATACACTAGGTCGAGTCCCAGCATTTGACCTCTTGGAAACTCATGAGTGCGAACCTGTTGCAGATGATCATTGCTACCTGGTGGTCCAGTCATTGACGATCGATCAGGAGACGACGATCCGTTGTCATCAGGGATGTTCTGATCGGTTGCTGCTGACACGGACGAAGGTTTTGCCACTGCAGATAGAGCTGAACGTGTTGACTCTTGGTATGTGATCGTACAGTAAACCTTGGGCTCGAGATGATCTGTTGTTCCGTGCGCGTGCTTGAAGTTATTCCGAATAATTTCTGTAGGAATTTGGAGGTTCGACACGCCAATTAGAACTGCAGACAGCCGCTTTTCGTCCCCCATCTCTTCGTACGTGCCATCGCTAGTGGATTCGTCGGTAGTCGCCGATACTGCAGAGCCTCGGGCAGAACTGGAGCTTCTACTACGCGCTCCGACACTGTCATCGTCTGAACCAGCAGGTCGGGCAACAAATTGCAAAAGACCCGAGTCTTTCTTCTCTTCTCCCGATGAAGCATCCGGCACTGATCGCAACGCTGCTGGAATGTTGGTGCCACTAGTTGACGTGTCCACAGCTTCGCGCTCAAGCAAAAGTTTTAGCTGCGATTTGGAGCTAACAAGCACGTCTAGTTCCTTCTTCATGTTGTATGCCGACAGTATGTCCTTCAACTCCTTCACTGTTTCAAGAGAGTCTCTGCCTTCTCCACTAGATTCGGCAGCAGCTGATCGAGTTGTGAGGGTTCGACGGCAGCACATCTGGAAGCGAATACGAGCTTCGTTCTCTACTGGATGAGACCAGCCTCCACCTTTCCGAGCCACGCGAACAGGAGCAAGGAACTCAACCACTTGCAGCTCATTATTTGCTCCACCTCTAGCTGAGATCATCGCAGCAGCACAGTATTCCTGCAACGGAATACGTGCAGTCGCGATGACGGACGAGCCGAACAGGATCTTGTCTGCTTCTCGTATCTCCACGATGATCTCTGCACCTGCTCCAAACTCGTAACTGGAGCTCTCCTCACCTCCATCGCTCAGCATCAATGCGCTCAACACAGCTCGAGAATTCGGTGCAGGCAGCCACCGCGGAAACATCGTCGTAGACTGAGGTACTAGCTTCGTGCGAGCTTCTTCACCGTCGCTCTTTAGTGAGAAGGTAATAAACGGCTGACACGACGTCAAGTCACTGCGTCCAGCTTGAAGGAACACATCTTCTAGGCACATAGCTTCCACCAGGCGAACACAGAGGACCAACGCTTCTATCTCTTTCTCTTCTTCGATTGCTGGCGGTATACTGCTAGCTTCGGCTCCCTGTTGTGCCTCTGAAGACCCAGCTTCGTCAGCGCCGGACTTCCCCTTCATTTCCACAACGTCTGAAGCAAAACGCACACGCTTCTTCTTCGCAGGCACGTCATGTGCATTGTCCTCTTCAGATCCATCCATCAGCTGAGCCCTGTGAGCCGCGAGAACATGGGAAATAAATACGATTGAGGTGTTGTAGCGCTTCCAACTGCGAAGTAGAGTCGCTCGTCGCCGCCTCTTGTGCTCGCCAGAGAACCCTGGTAGCATATCAGTCACCAGTAAGGTTTTCGTTGTTTCATCCAGCAATACTTCAGCCCATAATCGCTTCTTTACCACGCCCTCCGACACATCGATCGTCGGTAGACGCTGAAGCTTCTTCAACTGCACCTCGAAGCTCGCAACGACTTGAGTTTGGCCCACGATTGCTGCTCTGGTAAGCGCAGTAATTGGTGGGTCTTTACCTTTTCTATCGGCTGAAGTCTTCGTATTAGAGCGATGGCCATGCAACGGGTGCTCTTTCCTCAATGCTCCAATGCCCAAGCCTGCCACCTTCTGGACCTGTACAAACACCGTTGGGAACGCAGAGAAACGGAATGGCACATAGTCGATCGTGTGGAACGGGAGCACGGGTTCTCCACCTTCAAAGCCGATCGTCACGTTCCCCTTGTCGTCTTTGATTAGCGTTTTCTGCCACACAACTAGCGCCAAGTTGCTGCACTCGTTCTTGATCTTGAACGGCACAAATTCCTCGTTCTCCTTGTGCTTTACCGTCAGTGTATGCTCCCGATCATCCTCTTCGTATTCGTATGAAGATAGTGGAGACGAGTGAATAGACTGCTTACCCTCCTCCAGGTACACTAAGAAGGACGGATCGTGCAGTTCAACCGCTACATTGAGCTGGGTCCCATTCGCGAGCATGCGTTCGGCATCGCTGTACTCGTCTTCTTCATCGAAAAACATGTCTGCTTCGTCGTCATCTTCAATTTGCTCGCGCTTGGCAACATTTCCTTCAAAACACTCGGGAAGACATGGTGGTGCAGGTCGAACTTTTGACTTTACACGCAACACGAAGTTACCCACCGATGAGAGCTCGAACGGAGCACTCCACTGCGAGGAATTCGCAAACGAGACGGTATCACGATCATCATGACGGTTGTCGGGGAGCACAAAGCAAATCTGAACTCGTGAAGGCAAGCGCGAATCGCTCCAGTGGAAGATTTTGGTCTCTTGTGGGCGAAGCACAATCACAGCACTCGCGTCGGTCGAACGCTCCTGTCGAACGCGAATTTCAAACCGGTTTGAAGTGTTGATGAAATAATAGCGCGGGACCAAGGTCACAACACGAGATCGCGAGAATTTCTCTGGCCCTTGCTCGATCATCACACCGAATTCGTACTGCTTGAAGGTCGTTCTCAGTCCGTTCGATGGAGCTCCGAACTCTGTGATTGTAGACAGCAGAGATCGAGCATCTCGAGACCGGTTGGTGGGCACAAGGATCTGTCCGCGTACTCCCACGGCACTGATGTCGAAAGGCTCGGACTGCACCTCACGCTCTCCTGTTTCTCCCTTGATTCCGATCTTCATCTTGGACACGACTTGCTTGCTCTCACAGGAAAACACAGAAAGCGAGACGGAAGAGGATTCGTTCTCAGCGTCACTCTTATCGTCGTACAGGCGGCCAGGGTGATTGGACGGGATAAGGTAGTCATCAGCCGTATAGAACGCGAGCGAGAGCGACGTTCGGTCGATCAACCAGTACTCTGTGAACACCCGACACACTACTGGACAGAGCGTATTCAGTGCACGAGAACGCAATTTTTCCAGCTGAGTGATCTCGACGCAGATTGTTAGCTTGTTCGCAGGAGTCGGAGCTTCCAACTCGCTGTCATCACGCATATTCAATTCAATCCGCTCACAGAATGACTGGCAGCCGTAGATGAATGTATCCCTCGACCAACGTGAGAATCTCCCCAGTTGAATCTGCGGCAGTGCGAGACTGAGTCCAACAACTGTAGGAGTTTGCACGACCTCTCTGTTCTCCATATCTCGCTCCAAGACGTCCAATTCTGCTATACAAGCCGAGCTTCCAGAGGACACCTTCCCGTTCACGCCAGAGAATGAAGCAGCATTCTTTGCCACCCACACGACCTCAGCTTCCGATTTCATGCACACAGTGCGATACGACAATTCATAAGGCACGAGGTTCTCCAGGACAATAGGAGGTCGCAATGTGATCGTAGTCTCATGACGTTCAGACTTCCGCAGCGCAGTCAGGATCACTTGGAACGGTGGTAACGACACACCAAACGAGAAATCTGGAGCATCCTCGCTCCCTGAACTCGGATGGACATCCCAATAAAACGTCAGGGCTTTGCGTAGTTCCAGCGAGCCAACATTTTGCCGGCGGTTGGAGCGACCTCGATACTTGCTATCATTTGACCGCAACAGAGACGCGATCGAAAGTGGTTCCGAATGCTGAACCTTTCCGTTCGACAGCAGTGGACGGAATGCAATAGTCCCAGACTCAAGGTATTGAATGGGAATGTAGTGCGCTGTCTTCCCACCGGGCTCTATCGTCTCCTCCCGTTGGTCGTTGTAGATCACTTGGATGGGGACACTGAAGAAGTTCGCCAACTGAATCTTTCCTCGCAGTCGCAGAACGAGTGTGCCTTGCTCTGCAACGGTCTCGCATATGATACTCTCGCCATGCCACGAATCGCGCTGCTTGCCACTACTCTCTAGATGCAGATAGCTCCGGTTAGAATAGCCAATCGGCACTGGAATCGCCTTGGAAGAGGTCGTTCTTTGCGTAGGCGACTGTGGCTTTAGCCACAGCAACCGACGGAGCGGCGAGGTTACGCATCCTGCCGGCGCTTCATGTGCAACGATCTCAGTGGCAACGCGCTCGCCACTTTCGACTCGGATCCACTTTGTATCCGATGAAGAGATATCGTTCAGCATCGTTGTAAGTCGACGACGACTCCAAGCATTGCTGTTAAACATAGCCGTTCCGGTCTTCATAATGTCGTCGTTCGTGTCAGCACCCGGTACTTCAGTGGGCATCTCAATGGAGCTTGTAGGTCTTCGAGACGATGATGGAGTTCCACCTGCTGTGGGAGGCGCACCACTCGAGGACGACGGATGCGTCGCCACGACGAACGGGATACCAGACTGGTTGTCCACATAAATGAACGGCCCGAGACGCGATGATAAGGCCTCGTCAGCTGCCGTCACCTTCGTCACCAAAGCGAAAAAGTGCACCAGCACGTTAATCACGTTGCGCGAAACGTTGATATTGAAATCGTCCTTCACCACAATCATGAACGTGTTCGCCAGTTTGGCGCCATCTTGTACATCAGGCTGCTCCAGTAGTTCGCGATAAATGAAGTTTTTCGATTCCCATGAATGCGCCGCCGCGTTAGTAAACACCTCGGTTCGAGACGAGCGGAACAGACACAGTGGCATCCCGTCACATCGCAATGCAGCACCCGTGGGAGAGATCGACTGCCTCTCAGACATGCAGTAGTCACACAACACGCCTCCTTTCCCATGGTATGCCATGTTCACTTCGAAGTCTTCGAGTACAGGTTCCCATACAGCCAGTTGAGAGTTATAGGCTTGGATTCCAAAACGTAGACTCGTTAGCGCTGTGAACTTGTCTTCCAATCTCCCTCGAATATCTGCATGTAATGTCGCCACGCGGAAATGAAGCAGAGGCAGAAGCATGTTGTGAAAATCGTTTACAACTGTAGCATTCACACCAGGCAGCGTAAACTCCAAGATCTTCAGATTCTCGAGAAAAGAGGAGTACGTGAAAAGAGACTTGCGTTTTGTCCTCCGCTTCTTTCTCGGAGGTGTCTGGTTCTCCTCGACAGTATCTCCAGCGTCTGCAGCACTAGTATTAGCATCAGCATCAACGACCGTATCGGCAGCCTCGCCGTCTGGCTCGCCATCGTCAACGGGAGTACTGGTCTGCTCCTCACGCTGCTGGAACCTAGAGCTAGGTTTGCTTGATACAATCGATAAGGCGAACGGAATTGGTGCGTCACCGACACCGTTGAACATCAGATATCCACCTCCTCGTGCGCCTGTTGTGTCAACCGTGTGTGCACCTTCAGCTTGGGGTCCCGATCGTGCCGAGTTGAAGTCCATTTGCTGTCCAGTAGCATCTGCTACGCCGAACTTCTTCCCTTTACTGAACGAGCGATATATCGTGAGTTCCTCGAACACAATCAGCTCTCGATCGTAGATGACACTCTTATCCGAATTAAACATCGTACTTCCGTGCTTCCAGATCGTAGTTTCGAAAGCTCCAGCTGAGCCTTCTGGACCCAAGTAGCCAATAGCGCCTAGTTGGTCGTACTTCCGGATTAAAGTCGATTGCGCTGCCTTCGCCGCATCAGAGGTAGGAGTCTCCGCTGATTCCTCTTTTGAAAGGGATTTCTCTCTTGCTGTTTTCTCGTCATTGTCGCTCTTGTTGTCTATCACAGCTTCCAAGATGATTCTGTCGCCATAGTAGATCTCGTCTCCAATCTGTCGTCGACTCCCGGTGGCTGGCAAAATCCGGAACGCTACGCTTTCAACCAGTTGTCGCTGCTGTGCTGTATACGGCAGGACGAGGTATCGTTTGCGCCACGTCGAGTTATAAAATCCAACCACGGGCCGCGTCTCGAGACGTCCTCTGAAACTAGCAGACACCAAATAAATCAGCGACGAGCCATAAAGAGCAGCAGTGCGTTGTCGCTCGGCTTTCTTCGAGCTGGACAACACGAGACCTGATCGCGGGGATGAAGGCGAGCGGCGACGTCCACTCCAAGACGACGTATCGCTGTCTGCACCACCTCCTGACAGAGAAGAAATCGACGAACCAGACATTGAGCGTCGTTTCTGTCCCGGAGCACTTGGTTGTACGGAGATTGGGCGACGGAAAATATGCTCGAGCGCTGCCAGCATCGTGCAGAAATCCAGATATCCGAATCGAAGCTCCATCACGCGGTTAAATGTTGTTCGAAAGCGGAGGAAACGGGAACGCAGATCCATTTGCAGGACCGTCTCCATATCGATGGGTTTCAGGCAGTCGGCAGATGCGGCTGTAGCTGATTGCTCTGCCGCCCAAACGCTCTCTTCTGACAGCCGAGACGTTGCGTGGATATTCTCGAGTGCAATACAGAACTGCAACTGATTCCGACTGTGTGTTGGTGATTCTTTGACTTTGTCCTCAATGTTGGGGCATTCATCTTCATTCGCTTGCTGGAGGTAGTTGAGAATGATCGATGCTTCCCATGATAACATCAGCGCCCTCGACTTCAGCTTGTGAGGGTTTTCAACCAGCAACAAAGCGGATGGTCCCAGATTCAACTCTAAACTGATCCGACGATAGACTGGCGGCACTGTTACTGTGTTTTCAGGGTCAGGATCTCCATCCACATCCGTATCTCCTCTGCTACTCTCAGAGCCTTCACTATCCCCACTCAAACCTGGAGGAATCGTCAAAAACTGGATCAAATCATAGTGAATGTTCGACGGAATGACTTTGAACCCCGCAATGTCGACCACCAAATCCATTCTTCCTTCCGTTCCCACCACTGGAGGGCTCTTCTCCTCGCTGGGTTTCTCGGAATGAGCGCCATGGCTTGTAACGGTTGATGACATTTGCGAGTAGGCGGACATCTCAGAATCTGTTCGTCTAAGCGAAAGCTCGGACCCGAACAGGCCTACAATGGCTCTAGACGACACACTTCTGAACTGCGTTCTTGGAGTGCGCAGTCCATTTCCATGTGCAGTAAAGGCTGGGTCAAAGCCTATCGTCGCTACATCCACGTCGAAACTTTCGCGTCCAAATTGGATCTTAATCGCTTTCGGCAATCCTTCCTTGTACCGCTCAAACACGACAACATCGCGATACGAGGCAGACATCTTCGACTTCACACGCGAGTCCCGCATGTGAATGCCCTCTAGGTCAACATTTGCCGTTAATCTTCCATTGGCCAAGTTGTAATCAGCACGTCCTGATAGCACAGAAAGAGCCAGCAAGCAGATCGAGCCGTCGATCGTTTTGCCCTTCTCAACCATATCGAGATCACCACTGCTCGAGGGATGGTAGCCATGTTGTCCCTGCAATATTTCCATTGTAATTTCAGGAACGTGAAGGTCGAGCATGATATGCCGATCGTTAGCTGCCTCCGCCTCGGAGACGCTCATTCCATTGCTTCCTTCGTCGCCGACCTCCATAATTCCCCCAGACGAGGATGCTCCGTCAACACTTCGAGATCGGCTAGAAGAAATGCGCGCTCGTGGCTTGGCTGGTACCTCAGCTCCTTGCGAAAAACGATATCGACTACGTTCACGGTAATTCTGAAATGGTACTCGTAGCACAAAGGCGTATTGCTCTTGATTGCAAACCAGGCGAACGGGATTGAAGCTCAGATTCAACTTCAGGTCGTCGTGCGAGCGGAAATCCACTGAAAGGCAGTAGTTCGTTAGCCCCAGAAGACTTTGAGTGATAAACCCCCCGCCATCTAGTCGCTTATCCACATCATTGCGGTCCACAAGAATCACCGACACAATTCGAAGAGCCTTCATATCTAACTGCAACTGCTTCAGCGAGGAATTAAGAAGAACTTTGGCCACGATGCGATTTTCCATCCCAAGGAAGCTGTTGACGACACCTTCATTGGAGACTCGGAAGCTATCGAAACGCAGCAAAAGAGACTCGGACGACATTCGATGAGGAGGCATTTCTAGAACCGTGTCTTCCAGTCGAATATCGACGAGTGGGAACATCGATACCACGTCAGATCCCAAGAAGCCGCCCGAAGGTGCTGCGTCGTCTAGATTTTCCTCCATTTCTTCATTCATATATGCTTGTGTCGGGCCCCCTTGGATATCTGCTAGTTGGAAGTCACCTTCCCAAAACATGTCGGCTTGATCTCGAGACAAGATCGACAGAACAGTCTCCAACAAAACACCCTTCACCCAGTAGTTACGCATGTCATCGACAAAGCTGTAGAGAAACCGGATTCGCGGTGATTTAAGCCGGACTGAGTATCGGCTGCTATAGCCTGGATGCCATGCTTCCTGGATGGAATCTGCTCCGTAAAACTGCGCGGCACATGAAAACACTGCCGGGACGTCATCGAGCATCACCAGAATCTCGCTCAGCGTAGGAACGTGACCTACCGCAATGCTGTCATCATATTCACGAGCATCATCCCGATTGATCCACACTTTGTCCTCCTTTGGTTCTGGCGATGTACTTCCATGAGATATAATCTCACTGAGGTGCTGGTCGGGCAGAGATACGTCGCAAATTTTCAGCGAAGTCAAGTAAGCAAATATGCTCAAGTAACGCGGGAATCTTTGCACGCAGCAGCAGAACTGCTGTGCTGTCAAACTAGCAAAAGCTGATGGCATCCCTTCGGGTCTCTGTTTATCATCCAAGTGAAGAAACATCGACAAACCTTCCACATGGAGACGAAGCTGCATCGATGCCGGCAATTCTTCCTCGGTACCATCATTAGCGTCTGTTGTTGAGTCACTGAGATCATTTTCCTTCTCTGGGCTGACACCTAGGTTTTCCAGGAACGAAGAAGCCACCCACCCGCTTAGTTTCCTCGAGAAGGTGCGTTCGTTCGCTTCAGCATCCACCGAGGACAATACTGATTGCTCCTCCATATTCCCCTTCTTCCCTGTGCTTCCTTCACTGATGCTTCGCAAGGATGGTGGAGGCGGGGGAGGTGACTGCTCCTGTACACTGCTTTCGGTATCCTCATTATTATGCTGGAAGAAAAACACGAAGACTTCTGCCAGAGTGTCTTGGTAAACGTCAATCGTAAGCACTCGCAAACTTGCATCGACCGAGAGTGAGGTAATCAGTGAGTCCTGCCAAATGGAGTTCTCAAAAGAAGACGGGGAGAGTGGCGAATGTCGAGCATTTTTCCACAGTTTCTTGTCCTTCGGTAACACTGCGTCGGAGACGATGCTCGTAATTGCCACGTGAATTAACTGCTCAGATGAAGGTGGGGGTTTAGCAGCAATATTCTCCTCCTCTGCTTTATCTTCCAGATCAGTCACCACCCCATGATTTCCAGATTTCATGAGGAATCGCTTCTTTTCCACCACTTTCGACGACGGCGACGGTTTTGAGAGGAGGATATCCTCCACCAAGAACGTCCCGAGGGCAAATTCCAGCCTCCTGTCGTAGGATCTCACTTTTAAACGCGTATTGATATCAACTGCACGCACTCGAACAATTTTCCCCGAGCCATTTTCCATATCACGAACTTGTAGTGTGAGGATAACCTCACCCACTCCAAATTGAAGCTGGCAGATCACACGTTTCCACAGCTTCAGTAAATCGTGGTCGTCGATGTCCTTTTCTCCAAACGTTCGCCTTCGCTCGAGTTGGATCTTCCTTGCTAATCCGAGGTAGGGGCTGCTCTCCGAGGCAGCAGGTCTCCCACTTGAGTCACTACTGGACAGAGCAACAGCTCCAGGCTTTACGTAAGACGATACCTTGCGTACGAGCTTCGGCTTGCTACGTTGAGGAGCTGCTGTACTGGGCCCGATTCGTGTTGAAGGAAGGTTTGCTATATCGACGACAGTGGCAGCATCTCTGTCAATACGTCGTTGCGCGTGAGCTGAAAAGTTATCCCCGAACGAGTGGAGCAACTGCATCAACGAGCGGAAACTTGTAGCCGACAAGTTCAAATTAACGCTGTCGACGCCTCCAAAAAGCTTCAGAAGAGGAATACTTGGATCATCAGGCGTGACGCTCATGTAGAAGCTGAACGTCAACGAAGTTTTCTCGAGAAGATAGTGCCAAGCAGATTTCTTGCTCGAATGGGTTCGCAAGCGAAAAACGTTCCGCGCAATGCCGCTGTTTCCCCCATCGATAATTTGCACTTCAATACCCGAGATGCTGATCTCCAAGACATCGTAAAGACTTTCCTCTGGTGAAGCAACAGCAATCCTCCGGCTGTCAGCTGGTTCATCGTCCCCCAGGTCACTTGTGATGTCAGTGTCATCGATTATGTCACCCGGATGCTTCGTCTGTGCCTTCAAATGGCCCAGGAATACCAGCAAACTCACCTCGTCACCAGTTGGAATTCCGGTATCTGATGGCGGTGATTGGATAATGTTGATCAACGGCGAAATCACGTCCAAGCGCATATCCACTTTTGTTCTTCGAGCTACAGCATCCCGCAACTGAGCGGTACTGTAGCGCTGCAGACTCTGTGCTCGCTTCCATGCACTGTGCTCAAGACCCGACAAATCCACGTTTATAGGACGAGAAAACACGGCCACCACATCGAGGAGAAACATCAAGTTGACGTTGCACTTGATCGGTTGGGTAACGAGCGACACCCGGAGTAAATGAGCACCAGCTACAGCGTCTTCCGTAGAAGCCTCTCGTTTCGTATCCGCTTCTTCATCAAGTTTGGGTTGGCGTTCCGATTCGATGTGGAGTTGCATCAGTGGGAGTTCCCTTTCACAGTGACGAAGTCGCACGCTGCTCATTTGATTTCGCACGCCAACTGGGTGATACTCCAGGATCTCGTCCATGTCCATTCGCTGGAGAAAGAAGTCCGTTCCTGATGAACTCAAGGATCGACGCTTGCGCGATAAGTTGTCGTGAACTGAAGGGATAGAACTCTGGCAGAAGAATGCATCTCGAAGCTGGAGACCGACTTCTACGCACGACGACCGCACTTGAAATTGAATTTCTACGTCATCCAGCGATGCAATCAAGTGTGATGGCGAACTAGACTTCGTGGGGATCGCCTTATCAATTCCTTCGTGGAGAGTGAGACCGCTGAGATCAGTAGGAACGTCTTCAAGGCTGAGTCCAAACCTTGCCTTACACAGAGTAAGCTGGAATCTGTACAAAATGTGTTGATGCTCTTGCAACGAGCGCTTCTTTCGTGCAGCGGCATCTTCAATTTCGCCACTTTCGGACGATCGACTCTCTTTATCGTCTTCCTCCGGATGAAAATCGATCGCGTCATAAAGATCCTTGGTGTCCTGATCACTCCATTTCACGTCTTCAACGCGTATTTCTCCACCTCTCCGTGATCCGGTGTCATGGCCACCATGCGCTCCACCGGCGCCTGTGAGCCACGAGGCGTACGACCAAAGACGTGAAGAAGCAGGAACGTCTGAGCCTTGGGAGATAGGTATACCATCTTCGTTGTCACGTTGGCTTTGCAGCTTCTTCAACACTTCCTTCTCTTTCTCCTTTTCAGCAATATCTTTACGTACAGCACGACGAAGTCTCATCAATTCCTGAACGTCCATTGTAAACTCCAATTCGTCCAGCTCGCCGCGTGCCATTTCTTTCGTCAGTGAGCGGAGATCCGATGACACAAGCGTGGCTGCAAATGTAGTGCCATGCTCCAGCACAAGATACAACTCCTTGTACCGATTCCTCTGTTGTCGCTTCTTTTCTAGTGCCTCCCAGTCCACATGGGCCAAGCGCTCACGAACGTCCAACAGCACGGCGTTAATCGCATATCTCCACCACCTTCTCGGGTTGTCTTTCACACGAATTCTCTTCGGACGCAACACGAGATACCGAGCCTGTCGACGCTTCACTGTCAAGAAAGAAATGAAAGAAAGCGCGCTCAGATACTGCTGGCGATGCAGTGACGTACTGATCTGATCGATACTAGCTTGGGCGTCGATATACGTGCTCTTCTCCTCCATCACATGGACAACCGCTTCACGATATTTGACGATACAGGGCTCCACACGGCCCACCTCTTCCAGTGACCACTGCATACAGCTGGACAACGCTTCCTTAAACTGTCTCACTGATGGAATCTCGTCCTCTTCTTCCGTGAGATCTCTGGCCACTGACCACGCCTCAGAAAACACAAAACCCAACGTATACTTACGCTCTCCAGCCAACTTGGGCATCATTTCCAGGAATTCACTCCAGGCTTCGTCCCCAATCGCATCAATCGTCTCCACCATCCAGGGTGTTCCAAGTCTCGACAACACGCGCTCACTCAATTCCTGGTGCGTAATGGGCAATTTGGCATTCCCATCATTCACCGTCAGCTTCATGGAAACCGTGAGTGGATGCACAATGTAGTCGCTCTGTTTAAACAGCGGTGGGGACGTCATCTTCATGGTCTCAACAATCTCTGACGTCGGGGGTGACGGAGACGGCTCCAGCTCTTCCAGTTTCTTCCCTATCGAGAAGTTACTCCTCATAAGCGTAGCAAAGGCTTCAGCATCATTCAGTACCGTAGCTGGCACTGGTACCAGCGGTAGAGACCAGTAGATACCGAACTTGTTGATGTCCATCTTCTTTCTGATAAACGACACGCCATCCTGCACCTGCTGCCGCCCTCTCCCCACCATCGTATAGTTCCAACCTTCGTCCGCTGACTTGATGATAATAGCCTCGAGTGTCATACCTACTGCATAACGATGTCTCGGGTCCGAGATGGCGTCTTCCATCCTCAAGTGCAGATGCTGCACGTGGACTTGTACGTTGTCCAGCACTTTAACCATCAACTTGAACAGGAAACTCTGTGTCCAGCTCTGACCTGGGGGTGTTTGCGTCTTGTTCTTCTCATTAAACTCGGCCGCCTTCTCCATGGCGTCGAGCGCCGCGCGCTTGCGCTGTAGCGTCTGCAGCTTCTGTCGGCGCTGCTTCTCGGGCGTCTCATCACTGTCAGAGTCCGCGCGGTCGTCGGCGCAGACCTCGAGAAGTAGACTAACGTCCTGAATGTCCACGCGAATGGGCTGGTTGGCCAGGTTGGTCCATGGCAGATCGATACGCAGCTGGCGCAGTGTGCCCTTGACCAGACGCATCTGCTTGGGCAGCGGGAACGCATCAGGCTGCAGCTCCACGGCCTCCACCTCGATCTTGCCGTTCCATATGCTGATCTGTAGTGCAGCAGGGTCGATGTTCTTCACGTAGCTACCTAGAATAGCGTCCAGCACCACGTGCACGTAGCGCTGGAGGAACATGGCGGCCCCAGCGTGGGCACGGAGATCGGTCGCGCAACTAAGGTCGGAAAATGATTTGACTTCAACTAAGTATGGGGTTGTGTGTCCGAAACAGCCATAGTCAAAGCAAGTGAACGTCGTACCAGAAAGTAATTACGAAGATAATCCCGAAATTTGGTATGTTCGATTATTCTCGCTTCGAATTCGAATTCTCGTTAAATTCGGGAAGCCCTAAAATAGATCAAAGTGTAATTTTTGCCACCGAATCAGATCCTGTCTGTTTCTGATACTCTGTCCAAATTTCATAATTTTTTTTTTTGGGGTTCCCTAAATTCCCAAAAAAATCGTATTTATATTCAATTTTTTTTCGTCGTTGAACTTTCGATGAAAATGTCGCTTTGCCGTTGGATGGCATTCAGACGAAAAAAACCCATTAAATTTTTTAATGGGTTATTTTCGTCTGAATGCCATCCCGGCCAATCAGTATGCGTCACGACGAGTTTTTGGCACTAAGTTATTAGGGTTGCTGAATGCCATCCGTGTCCGTTCGTTGGTTACAATAAAATTGAGCTTATTGAAATGATTGGACAAAAAAAATTGAAATGATTGGACAAAAAACACAGTCGTTGGGAAGGGACACTATGTCCCGGACAAAATTGTTATCGGTTTTTTTTACAATCTCTTTTGCCATCTCTACCTCGTCGCGTAATGGAGGCGCTTCAGCAGGCGGAACACGAGCTCGTCGGTGTGTGGCAGTATGTGTCAACGAATCTGTCCATCCGCGGGGACGACGCATCGGTCCAACAGCGTTTGACGTTCTCCACCGAGGAAGAGCAGACACTTGAGGAGAAAGTAAGCGAGGGTATCTCCGCATATCGTCGTGCTCTCTCGGACGCACAAGACTGGATCCAAGAGCTAGAGGACGCCAAGGAGGCGAAGGAGGCAGCACAGAAGGTGGAGAAGTCCACGACTCAATTACAAAGCCACACGGCTAACTGCAGGAAAGTGCTCGTGGCCTATCGCCAGCGCGCCAAGCTCGAGCGCCTCGAGCAGCAGCGTCGCAGCTTACTGCCGCAGAGTCCACGGCAGGCAAAGGCCTCCAGCGCTAGCAATTCCTCAGGCTCGGCTGTGGACGTGACAGCGGCGCTGAAACGTACAAGACAGGTCATGTCCCAGGAAATCGAACGAGTGAGCTCTGTTACCAAAGTGCTGGACGACGGACGCCTGAGTCTGCGCAGTTCCCACGAGGAATATGGCAGCGTGAACGCCGAAATCGCCGAGGTGCGGAAGACACTTAAGGCGCTCGAGTGGCAGGCCAAGCAGGACAAAATGTGGATCGGTGCGGGCATCATGGTGCTGCTCTCGACCGTGTTATTCATCGTATATGAACGCACGGGCCTCATTATTATTTGAGAAGGGCGAAGTGGGTTCAAGAGGAGTGGGTTGGCGTGTTTACTAACGCGGGTTCATTCGATTTGTTTGCTGGCGGATGGAATTTGGATGACTCCCTCATGGTGAGGTGCTGGGAATGCATGCAGATAATAGAAGAGAAGAATGATTGGAGCGCGATAGAAGAGTTGTTGCTGCAAAAATGCCAATGCAAAAGTGGCTCCATGTTCAATTTCGTGAAATGGCGTCAAAACTTGAAGATTAGACTGGCGTCCCTATCATGAGTATTTGACGCTCACTATGTATGGTATGTATGGTGCTTTACCTTCAACCAGATCCCATCGATTTCTCCTGCCGTGTTGCCGGTGGTCTATGCCATTTTACATTTTGCTGTGCAATCCTCAAGAACCTCAATCCTAATTGCTCAACATGGCTCCGGGCGCCGACGCTAATAGCATGAAGCTCGTGGGCTGCAAGAATTTCGTTCGCCACAACCCCATGACCGACCGCTTCGATGTGCACAAGTTCCACCACATCGAGTTCTACTGCGCAGATGCCACCAACGTGGCTCGCCGCTTCGCTTGGGGTCTGGGCATGGGCCAGATCGGCAAGTCCGACCAGTCCACAGGCAATCACGTGTCGGCCAGCTACGTCGTCCAGAGCGGAGAAGTCAAGCTGGTGTTCACGGCGCCGTATGCGCTCGAGACGGAGAAGGCACCCGACGCTGTGAGTCCCATTCCCGGCTACGATCCGGAGTTCGCGCAGAAGTTCGTGATGAAGCACGGACTGGCGGTGCGTGCAGTGGGAATTCTCGTCGGTGACGCCAAGGCCGCGTACGAGAGTTCAGTACAGAACGGTGGCGTGGGTGTGCTGAAGCCTCACACGCTGACTGACAAGGAGTCGGGCAAGACGACGACTGTGTCGGAGGTGAAGCTGTACGGCGACGTGGTGATCCGTTGGGTGAGCGGCGACTTTGAAGGTCCGTTCGTGCCTGGCTACGAGAAGTGTGAGTGTCCCGATGTGAGCATCGGCATCCAGCGTCTGGATCACTGCGTGGGCAACGTACCCAAGTTGCTGGACGCTGTCAAGTACATCACGGGCTTTACGGGTTTCCACGAGTTCGCCGAGTTCACGGCTGAAGATGTGGGCACGCTGGACTCGGGACTCAACAGTATGGTGCTGGCCAGCAACAACGAGATGGTGCTACTGCCCGTGAACGAGCCAACGTTCGGCACGAAGCGCAAGAGTCAGATCCAGACGTACCTGGAGCAGAATGTGGGTGCGGGTCTGCAGCACATGGCACTCAAGACGGACGATATCTTCCATACTCTGGCGGAGATGCAGAAGCGTAGCCATGTTGGTGGCTTCGAGTTCATGCCCCGACCTAACAAGGTCTACTACGAGCAGATGCCGGAGCGTATTGGAGACGCTTTGACCAAGGAGCAGTACAAGCAGATCGAGCAGTTGGGTCTGCTGGTCGACAAGGACGACCAAGGTATTCTGCTACAGATCTTCACCAAGCCTTTGGGCGATCGCGCGACGGTCTTCTTTGAGATCATCGAGCGTGTGGGCTGCATGAAGGACATTGCTGGTCGTCTGGAGCAGGCTGCAGGCTGCGGAGGCTTCGGCAAGGGCAACTTTTCTGCTCTGTTCAAGTCGATCGAGGACTATGAGAAGTCGTTGAACGTGTAAGGCTACTGAAGTTTTGAGAAAAGATACAATCGTGAAATCTTCGTTATTAATACATGCTGCCTAGTATGTCGTACAGAAACCCATGAATCTACATGGTACAGTGGCCTCATTAAATGAGACCATTGCACATCTTTTAGTGGCGCCTCATGTTGAAGAACCTATACGCTCGCCGGAACAGTGTCAGCAGCTGAAATGGCTTCGGCATCTTCATCATTTCTACTACTGTAGTAAGTAAAGTGGCACCACAGCGGGATAAATTCTTCGCGACGCCAGCGTGATGGTCTACCACCAAGCTCAAATACCGCAACCAGGTACTTCGAATTACATACTGGTGGAGTGTTCTTCGAGCACCATTTTTCTTCGTTTTCAATACATCGACAATAATGCCGAATTATCTTCGACGATTCCAGTTCGATCCTTGACCAGTGCACCTGGTTAGCATCCATCAAGGACCAGCAAGGACCAGCAAGTCGATGAATCAATGGGAATTCATCTTGTTATATTCACAGTCCTAGGGCCTAATTGCTCGAAGCTCGGCTGCGCTTCGAGGAAGCCACCGCGTCGCCCTGGTTCGCACGCTTCTTCTTCCTGTTCGCACGTTTCTTCTTGGACTTGCTTTGCTTCTCTCCATCTTCTCCACCAGCGTTATCCACGTAGAACAAACTAGCAGCGTCGGAAATCGCTTCCTCTGCTGCTTCAACCGCATCTACCTGAGTCTTCGGCTTGTCCAAGTTGCCCTCAGTCATTCTCTGCAGATGTTCCATGTAACTCTGCACAATGAACACAGCAATACAGTTGGACTCTCTAGAACTAACAACACAATACAAAGGCAACACGACTCACCTTCTGAATAAGAGGAAGCTCCTCCGCCGTCAGGTCAGTCGAGCTCAGCAGAATGTTCACCATCTTGTTCTGGTCAAAGCATTTCTTCCACAACCGCTGCGCAGCCTTCTCAAACACAGATTTGGGACTGGCTGTCTGCTCGTGGTCCAGCCAAGACACGAAGCTCGTAGGCAGCGGCACGCCGGCCAGATGTGCCATAGCTGTGGTGATAGCCGGCAGACTCGACTTGAGCTCGACACGCATGAAATGTGCCGCGTGACGTAGACACACAACGGCCTCGAACAGCGCACGATCCTGTTCTGCAACTTTTTCTTCTGTAACACTCTCCTTAGCGCGGTCGAACAGAGCCACATTGGTGAACGAGCACGAATAAACTTGGCCGAGACAACCAAGCAGTGCACGGCGGTCCTGTTCGTCCAGAGCTTCGTCCTCATCTTCGTCTAAGTAGGTCGTGGGCTTGGGCAAATTGTGTACGAACGTCAGTACAGACACGAGCCACTGGCCGTTCTGGTGGAGTTTACGTTGGCGCATCTGGGCCGCAAGCAGTACTTGCCGAGTCGTGAGTTGGGCCTGTGCCACAGCACTCAGCTTCTTCCGCTTCTGCGAGTTTTGCTTAGGTGTCTGCTCTTCCTCCTCGTCCTCTGAACCGGAAAACTCATCCGACGTCTCCACCTCATTGTCGCTGTCAATGGGGAAGTAAACTGCCAGCGCGAGTAAAGCGCCATAGATGTTGGCCATCTCTTCATCGTAGACCACCTGCTTCAGCTCTTTGCTCTCTTCTGGACGGTAAAACGACGTCCATGGGGCCGTCAAGCCCCCGCCAGCAACTTGAGATAGTGCTACAGCGTCCTGGACAACGACGCGCTCCAGCAGTGTGCGCAACTGTTGAACCTGCTTGGACACATCGTCGTCTTCATTGCAGCTCCAGTTTCTCGGCAGCTTCTCCACCTGCTGCTTCACACAAGCTGCCAGTCGTCTCAGCACGAGGCCGCGCTTGTGCTGTTGCTCCTGCGGCGTCTCGTAGTTGCGCGCAGCCACGAGAGAAAAGAGCTGTACAAGACTCTCGGCGTCTTCCGCCTGGGTATCATCGGCTTGCTGCACGCCATCAATACCTGCGTCTAATGCTAGCACACCAGCGAGCCTGCGCTGTTCATCCGCGACAGCCTGCGTGAGCTCTAACTGCGTGACCACCTCATTCAGTGGAGCGCCGTGCGTCTGCGTCGTCTCCTTCTGCTGACTCTTCACGTATTCGATGTGCAACTCGCGCAGCAGTGAGGCCAACTGCGTCTCCAGAGGTGTCAAGTCGCGCGCCAGTTGCGCTTTGAGTTTTCCACGCGGTAGCTTGGCCACCGCCTCCTCCAGTATCCCGTGCAAAAAGGCGCCATCCTCCCAGAACTGCTCGCGATCGGGTGTCTGCGTCCACTGCTGGAACACTGCGCGCGAGAATTGCGTAAGGAACCGCGTCGCCTTGGAGTCCATGGCTGTAGGCGGTAATGTTGACTGGTGGAGGAAATCAAGCCTGAAATATTGACGATAACAAATTTTGACAATACAGTTCGACAAATTTGTTGATGTGGGAGCTAAAATATATATATTTCTCGTTTATTACCGGTATCTCTAACTTCGAATGCCGACATTTTCTAAAACTAGAACAGGGTTTACAAATTAGCGGATACACTTCGGAAAACAATGCCGACCGATAGTACTCCTCACAGCTTTGTAAAGTAGTAAGGCCTCACCACCTGGCCACTGTGGGCGGTTTTGGATCGAGAGTGAAAATGCTGCATCTCTAGTGCGATGAGAGGCATGAAAAGCAAAGAGCCATCGGCCTCATCTCCTTGTTGCGATGATTAAGTACTCCTCATACAAACCGAGCTGATAAATTCTTAAAGCATGCGAGTCTATCGGAGCTCGGACGAGAAACTAGACCATGACAAAAAATAATACAACGCTAACATCACCACCGAAGTTGACATCATACGAAATTCATTGTTAACTTGGCGCGCACTAACCATTCTCATTTATTCAAACCTCCAATCACCGACCTTACACGTTCAACGACTTCTCATAGTCCTCGATCGACTTGAACAGAGCAGAAAAGTTGCCCTTGCCGAAGCCTCCGCAGCCTGCAGCCTGCTCCAGACGACCAGCAATGTCCTTCATGCAGCCCACACGCTCGATGATCTCAAAGAAGACCGTCGCGCGATCGCCCAAAGGCTTGGTGAAGATCTGTAGCAGAATACCTTGGTCGTCCTTGTCGACCAGCAGACCCAACTGCTCGATCTGCTTGTACTGCTCCTTGGTCAAAGCGTCTCCAATACGCTCCGGCATCTGCTCGTAGTAGACCTTGTTAGGTCGGGGCATGAACTCGAAGCCACCAACATGGCTACGCTTCTGCATCTCCGCCAGAGTATGGAAGATATCGTCCGTCTTGAGTGCCATGTGCTGCAGACCCGCACCCACATTCTGCTCCAGGTACGTCTGGATCTGACTCTTGCGCTTCGTGCCGAACGTTGGCTCGTTCACGGGCAGTAGCACCATCTCGTTGTTGCTGGCCAGCACCATACTGTTGAGTCCCGAGTCCAGCGTGCCCACATCTTCAGCCGTGAACTCGGCGAACTCGTGGAAACCCGTAAAGCCCGTGATGTACTTGACAGCGTCCAGTAACTTGGGTACGTTGCCCACGCAGTGATCCAGACGCTGGATGCCGATGCTCACATCGGGACACTCACACTTCTCGTAGCCAGGCACGAACGGACCTTCAAAGTCGCCGCTCACCCAACGGATCACCACGTCGCCGTACAGCTTCACCTCCGACACAGTCGTCGTCTTGCCCGACTCCTTGTCAGTCAGCGTGTGAGGCTTCAGCACACCCACGCCACCGTTCTGTACTGAACTCTCGTACGCGGCCTTGGCGTCACCGACGAGAATTCCCACTGCACGCACCGCCAGTCCGTGCTTCATCACGAACTTCTGCGCGAACTCCGGATCGTAGCCGGGAATGGGACTCACAGCGTCGGGTGCCTTCTCCGTCTCGAGCGCATACGGCGCCGTGAACACCAGCTTGACTTCTCCGCTCTGGATGACGTAGCTGGCCGACACGTGATTGCCTGTGGACTGGTCGGACTTGCCGATCTGGCCCATGCCCAGACCCCAAGCGAAGCGGCGAGCCACGTTGGTGGCATCTGCGCAGTAGAACTCGATGTGGTGGAACTTGTGCACATCGAAGCGGTCGGTCATGGGGTTGTGGCGAACGAAATTCTTGCAGCCCACGAGCTTCATGTCGTCTGCGGAGGGGGCCATGTTTTCTTTTACGAGTTGTTGGAGACTGTGGGGGTTGCAGGCAAGTTGGGAAATGGTATGGTGAGGACAGGACCACCGGCAAGGACGAAGGGGACCGGACGGTTGTGAAGTTAAACCACGTTGAAGAACGAGGCGTCGAATCGGCGTGATTATTAGCATCCCATGTCTAATCGTGCAGTTTTGACGCGGTGAATGTAGCCATTTTTAGCAATCTTATCCAGACAGCTGTTATTTTTATTCTTTTATTACATGTATAATACTCAGGATGAAGACACAGGATGTATCTCCACCCTGAGTTCATTGCCAGCGTGCTGACGTTTGCACTGAGAAAGAGTCTTCACTAAGGTAGCGATATACATGTACTTGAACATTATAAAAATGTTTATAAAGGCTGTGCAGCGCAGCAAACTTCATTCTGAACAAAGCTCACCATTTAGGAGGACAGCGAGCTTCGTTCAGACCACTTCGACACCTATTTAGGAGGACAGTGAGCTTCGTTCAGACCACTTCGCCACCTAGTAGTTACATTCCGTTGGATTGCTGCAGGTTGCACTTGAGCTAGCGATATTGATCGATGAAGACCGGACACTCCTCGCTAACTTTATTATCGCCACGGTGCATTCGAAGCTTCATGTCTGCCGCAGGTATTGTGCTTGCTTGTCTGCGCTATACTACATGACAAGTTTCACTTGCAGCTTGGGAGACTGTCCAGCCGTAACTACAACCAGTAGACGAATAACCGTGAATCGTTAATGCAACCACATGTACGACCACCAAAACGTTCGACTCGCTGACTGGAGAACTGTCGCCGTGCTTGTTACAATGCTGTTTTTATTTTGTTTTCCATACTGTGGTTGATGATGATGTCTTGGCTCCGCCAAGGCGGAAACCAGCGCCAGGCCAGTCTCCTCGCGCCGGTTTGCTAAATAGTTCCTTCCTATTTTGTCCAAAAATTCTAAAAAAAAAGTCACAATCAAAAGTTCGCACACTTGTCCATCGACGACTCCAAATCGCCCACAAGTTCCACTTGCCTGCGGACGATTTCCCCTTCTGCTCACTCGCAGTTCACACCACTCGACGTGACTCGAAGCTCAGCATCCACCCGCTCTGTCAGCACCCCATCATACGCTTCAACTCCATCATAAATCCCCTTGAAGCAGAAGCCTTGGCACCAGAGCAGACGGGCTTTGAGCTGCGATCACTCGTTGCCCTCCACTTGTCGGTTCAGACCGCTGCAGTCTCCGTCTTCTTCTTGTTTCATTTTTTTCTCGTAGTTTTGTCCATCCTCCACGGAACAATGCACCTTGTCAAAGTGTCGCCTTCTCTTGCTTCAGCACCAGCAAACACCACACGACACACCCGACTCGGCCACTCTCCGTCTGCTTCATCTCGCCCATCCTTCACTCAGTTCTAGTTCGTGGACGTGTAGTAGGCTCGGCCACTCAATACGCTCGGGTCGATCTTGGAGCGCAGCGGTGGGATAGAGTACACGCTGGGGGTCTGGGTGCTCACGACGTTCAGCGGGGGAAGACGGAACGCGCCGGCACCGCTTTGTTGTTGCTGCATTTTGCGCTCCTCGGCGCCTGGGACACGCATGGGGGACAGCATCGGCGTCGACGAGAGGGGCAGAGGCAGGCGGTTCTGTGCGTTCTGATACGACATCTCAGTGATGGCGCTGAGAACGCCGCCGAACTTGCGAGCCGGGAAGGGACTGCCGTCGGGGGAGGCCCGCAACGGAGACAGTCGCACCTCGGTCTTCTGCATGCTCCACTCGGGGCTGGGTCGGATGAAGCCATCCTGGTTGTTGCCCCACTCCATCTTGCGGATCTTCTCGCTAAACTCCACAGACGCACGAGCCACGACTTCCTCGGGACACTGCTTGACCATCACGGGGCTCGACATGTCGGCCATCTCCACGTCGGGGGGAGACGACGGCATGGACGGCACAGTGGGGACGGCCACAGGCTCCTGCTTCATCACCTCGATGGACGCGAGCTCCGCCAGACGGAAGAGCTCACTCCGCGGCGCCTCGTGGCCAGGCACGCCCGTAAGCGAGCGCGTAGGGCTCACGGTTGAGTTCGCAGGTGCACCGACCCGGCCGTATTGACCGGTCATCTCGTCGCCTGAGACATACTCGATGGCCTTGAAGAGATTCTGCTTGGCCGAGTATTCTTGCGCGTCGGCCTCGCTGTGCTGGGAACCGTCGTCTCCAGCCTGCTTGCGGCCCTTGTGGCGCAGTCCGCGACGCCAGCGACTGATCTTCTGGCGGTACTTCTGCGCGTGGGTCATGGTCTGACGAGTCGTCTTGGTGCCGATAAAGGCGGCGATGACCTTCCAGGGCCCCGCTGGGTATTTCTCCATGGCCTCCAGGAACTTTTCGTGCTCCTCTTGGGTCCACATCTTAAGGGGCTGGCTCTGTTTGGACGAGTAGACCGTCGTGCCCGCCTTGGCCTCCGTGGGCTTGATGCGGATGAGCTTGCCCTCGCTGTTCGTCATCTCGAACAGCTCCTTGCGCACATTGGCCGAAATCGTCATCTTGCTTTCCCGCTTCTTAGCACCCCCACGCCTGGCACCGCTGCATGTAGTGACAAAGAGGAGGGAAAGGAAGAATTGGCTTTGGTGGCTTGGCCCGGGCGGAGCGCCAGTCCAGACAAACAGCGACGCGAAGAGCGAGGAACCGATCGCACTTAAGCGGGACATTACACTTGATGGATACGATGTGGATTCATTCTGCGCCCTGGCTGTGTCCAGCCCAAAATAGCAAAACACATCCTGCCCAAAACAAATTAATTCGAGCCAAACTGCAAACGTAGTACTATCTCCTTTTCTGATAATAGTACTGTTGGTTTAAGCTATCAGAAATACTAACACGTATTGAGGGTAGTACATTAATCGGTGAAGCTTGTCCAATGACGCTCCGTGATCGGTCAAACTGGTGGAGATAACTGTAATAATTTATGGCCGACGCCATAATCAAAAAATGATAACATTACAGCCTATTCAGATATATGCTGAAGTAGTATTGAGGGTAGTACATTAATCGGCGAAGCTTGTCCAATGACGCTCCGTGATCGGTCAAACTGGTGGAGATAACTGTAATAATTTATGGCCGACGCCACAATCAAATAATGATAACATTACAACCCATTCAGATATATGCTGAAGTAGTACTGGTATGTGATTTTAGAATACTAAGATACCTTTTTTCTATTGCACTATGAGCGTCAGTATTTCTGGTACTATACTACTTGTTTATTTTAGGCAATTTTAATTTTGGGCTCCCTGCAAAACAATGCCATGCGAATGGGTTGACTCGAAATGGGCCATTTCAAATGGCATGAGACCCCTGCTAGATGCAGCACCGGGACAAAAAGTCTAATGTACATGTAGCGCCCATTTTGGAGTACCTCGATGCGAGCAGGGCAGTCCTTGCTTGCCTCTTTGCCTCGCATGAGTCAAGAAGACGTTTATCGTGCCTCACTTGATGTTATCCGCATCCATCCCTACTCCTGGCTTGGCCATGTCTTAAACTAGATGCCAGAATCTGTCTTCCAACGGCAAAAGAAGACGGTGCTGAAATATTCTGATTGCTCGCTGCCTTGTCTTTTAAGCCCTACCAGGCTCCATACAATAGCGCCGCCATCTTCGCAACGGTATAGGCCTCGACCTGAACGGCAACAGGTATCTCCAGTGTCAAACATTTTATTGTAATAAACAAGAAGCATTTGCTGATAGTTAAGTGCAGCTTTTCGTGGCCAAGTTGAAGTGATTGTACTCTTTTTTCCAGCGACCATTTCCAACACAAGGTACCCATTCATCCACACCAGCTGTTGCCGTCAAGACACTGGCGTGTGGCGAGCAAAGAAGAGCTTCCAGCAACGGCGGAGTCAGTCCGCCCTTGGTCTGAATGAGTGTCTCCTGTAGAGACCTAGAGAGATCTTAACAGGAGACTCTCCGCAGTGGCTCGCCTGGATTATTGGACTCGCGCCGTAGCGATGTCTCAATGGGATGCAGTGCCGTACTCTTTTGCGACGGCGGCCACAGGTGTCCGATTGAAATTGAACAACGGCGAGGGACTTGGCGCAGAGGAGCGGTCTCTGCACGAGACCCAGCCAACGGATATGCTGCGAAAAATGGAGCCGATGGGTACACGCGCTGTTCTAAAAAGCTGGAGCCATCTCATGTATTGCGGCAGGATCCTTGCCATGGATAGCAGCAATGACACAGGGCAAAAGCTGCGAGGCGCTGCAAGGTGCAGCGGAAAACACCATCGCACCGTAGCAGCAGGTAAGGAGACTCTGCTGTCGACGACACCATCGGCGCAGTGGTAGTGGCATTTCGATCAGACACGGTGTCTCATTGCGGCACCTGACGCGCCCAGAAAACCCGCTGTCGTTCGGCCTCCATGCAGCTGCAAGACGCCCTTGCTGCTCTCGGTGTGGTGTGGTGGCGCAGCCATTCGCGATTACCAAGCTTGGCGAGCTGCGCGAGATACATGTACATCCTCGTCACGCGTGCAGGTTCAGAAGCAGGTTCAACCTGTTGCTCCATGTCAAGAAGTGATGGATTGCCGCCAAATTGGCACGTGCGCAAGCCAGCAGCACCGATTTGCCGCAGAGATACCATGTTTGTTCCCGGGCCGCCACCATTCCGACCGCGTCGTCGAATCATTCAACTACTGTAGCGCTTTTTTAGACCGGAAAGTAGTTCGCCCTGTAAAGCCTCTCGCCCCGTTCGGGCCCCGTGCATGTAGCATATCCGAGTCTCCAGTTGGCAGCTAAAGGCTGTAGCCTACAGCTCCATGCTGTTTTCATTTTCATCCAATAGTCGCGCGCAGTTTCTGCGAACGTCGGACCATCTTACAAACTCCAAGTCATTGATGTGTGTACCCACCAGAGATCCAGTTTGAACCCAGATCGCATTTTCCTCCAACCACACGCAGCCGTGTAGAATGGGTACATGCCATGCGTGTGTAACCCTAAAATCCGCCGCCGCGTCGTGTCGCGGCAAAGGAGGCTTCATCCACCACCGATAGCGCTCACTTTGCCACTGCCACGGAGAGAGGAGACCCACCATGACCATCTCGCGTAGCGTATACAACCAGCTCTTCGAGCAGGCGCCTGATGCCGCTGGAGGCGCAACGAAGGAGAAAGTGATCCGTTTGCGCCCCACAGAGGCCAAAGCAGGCGCCGTAGTCATGTCGGCTAAGAACAAGATCCAAATGTGGACCAAGGAGGAGCACGAGCGCTTCCTCGCGGCGCTAGAGAAGTATCCGGCCGGCCCGTGGAAGAAAGTGGCTGACTTTATTGGCACCAAGACGCCGCGCCAGACCATGACCCACGCGCAGAAGTACCGCCAGAAGATCCATCGTCGCCAACGCGGTCTGCGCAACCAAAAGAAGAGCAATGCCAATGCCAATGCCAACCCTACCACCACCGCGACCGGTAGCGCCCCCACGCCCGTGGACATTAAGGCGGATCCTAAGGGCGAGCCCAAAATCATCGTTTCGCCCTACGGCGTGGCCGACTTGCAGCTCAAGTCTGGCTCGGAGGCTGTGGCAGCAGCAGCGGCTGCAGCAGGCGTCACCAATGATCAGCTGTTGAATATTCTAGCACAACAAGCCACGACGATTAACCAAGACAAATCTGAGCCCATGGAAGTGGACTCGGGCGTGACGGTGGACACCACAGCGTCTCCTGAGGATGCTGCAGCGGCAGCCAGTCAGGGATCGCCTGGCAATAATAATTTGCCGTCGCTGGCCGAGATTCTGCACCTTGGAGGCGCTGAAGGACAGGCGACGACGCAAGCACAGGACGAGAAGGTTGAGGGAAAGAAGAAGGAGGAAAAAACGGAGACAAAGACGGAGGAGGATACTGAGACCGAAGGGGAGACAGAAACGAAGGCCGCGGTCGAGGCCGTCACCGAGACGAAGACGAGGACGCAGACCCGGCCAGAAGACTGCAAATGCAATTGCAGCTGCAGCGCACACGGTGGCAAGAAATCCGAAGCGGAGGATACGACGACGCAGCTTCGGCCGGACGAGAGCAAGTAAGTGCATGTGGCTGCAGGTCTACTGGCAGCTGGAAGGAGAGAGAAGGAGGAGGCTGCTCGGAGCGACATGGCGGCTCTCGTACCCCGCCGTGCTACGTGTAGAGCGCCTAATAATTATTGTTAACAACGGAGGCTTGCAACCCACCCAATCCATATGTTAGATCGTATTCCGCTGTAGCCATCACAACCTTCAACTTCTCTTCAACTTGGTTTAACAATTCCAGCGATGGCTACAAACCCTTGGTGTAGCCATCTCCGCGAACAGCTGAGCTTCACAATATCGACTCAAAAAGGAACGAAGGCATGAGGAGGCAAATACATGTTTATACGTGTTCGTATTGCATGGAATTCTGTGTTTCATTGTTGTTTTCTTCTGATTGTCACCCTTCTTGTAGCTTGGTACTTCGTAGTACATTCTTATTCTATACGATGCAGAGAATTCACACAGTGAACCAAGTGCTTTGATCACTTAACGTTAGTCATCGTTAAATCTCATGTCTGAATGATATTGCTGGGCACGAACTTCGTCAGTCTTAAGGCCAGCGGTCCCCGTTTCCCACTCCAATTCGCTGTCACGCGATTTATCGTGTGAAAAACGTGGGTTGTCCAGATATTTCGACACATTAGTGTTGTGATGAATTGCTGAGCGCTGAATCGCGGATGAAGGCGGGATGCCATACATCTTGCTCAACTTGTCGTCAATTCGGTCCATGTAATCATGAACAGCAGCATTCACTTTGTCAATCTCCTTTCGTCGTCTCCTCTTGTCGGTTGTGGTTTTCTCCCACGACACAGTTTTAGGGGACCCAGAAAACTTAGCAGGAGAAACCTTACACAAATCACTAGCATCGCTATGAACTCCACAATGTGTAGTGTCCACTAGCGCCCTTGATACACTAAGTTGTTGCCACTCATTCATAAAGTTATCTTCTTCCTCCAAACTACGAGAGTTTTTCGAGTGGACTCGTGCAGGTAAAGGTGACACTGACGACGACGACGACGGACTATCGCATTCATTTTGACGAGAAACATTGGACACACTGTTCTCACACTTTCGACGCCGAGACGCACAATTCAGACCATTGATGTCAATCGTTGGAGCGAAAGAGGTCTTTCTTCTGGATTTCGTAGTCGGACTTGAACAACTGGCACCACGCGTCTTAGCTTCACACGATTTCCGTAACACTCTTGCCTTATTGTATGAATCCTCCACGTCGCCCCCGTCACTCTCACTGTCATTAAAACTCTTTTCCAGCTCTCGTAACTTCTCTTCGCGGAGCTCTCGCTCCGTCTTCTCCTGTTGTTGACGTAAATGGTTCACCATTGTTTGCAATGCCGCTTTGTCCTGAACCTCCTGCTCCAGTTGCCAGCTAACCTTCTGATAAAGATCGTGTGCCTTCTTGACCGCCTGTTTGAGGCTTCGGACTTCCTCTTCTTGGCGACGTGCTGCGGATTTCGATTTATCCGCTTTCTCTTCCTCTTCAATGGAACTACTCTTTAACTGGTCAAGCTCACGCTGCAACGAGACCTTTTCCGCTTCCACCCTTTCAATCCGACTTTCAGCGTCTGAAACATCGGTTTGCAATGATTCAATCGTCATCTGAGCTTCGATCAACTCGCCTTCCTTCGATTGCATTTCCTGGCCCTTCGCTTCGTGTTCTTGATGAGCTCGTTGCAGCTCTTGGTCTGTTTGGGTACGCAGAGCCGCCATCTCGTCTTGCAGATCTTGTGTTTTCTTCAGTAAACCTTCCATGTCTTTCAAGCTATTGGCCTGTTGATCCAGTTGGAACTGGAACTCGTAGTTCTCTTTCTGCAATGAATTCCGCTGATAGTGCAGGTCTTCTACTCGCTTACCGAGAGCTAGAATACGTTTCCGAATCAACACCACAGTCGGAAGATCTTCTTCAAAAGATGGAGAAGTGTCATATTCTGCCAGCATATCATCGCGCTGGTCAATTCGTTTCTTGGCTGATCGTCGCCGACGCTCTAGTAAAGCCTGACAGTGGAAGGTTCCGTTGGTGTTGGCCACTAAAAGCTCCTTCGACGTAGGATTGATAGTCATTACCACTTTTAAAATCAAATTACCGAGAAAAGCTGGTAAATGCCCTGATACTGTTGTGTTTGACTCCATAACTTGTGCAATTTTGTCCGCGATTTCCATCTTTTTGAGTCGCTCCAACAGCGGACGAAGAGAGAGTTTCGACAATGTCTGCTGTGGAGATAACACCTTGATAATTGTAGATTGGGATGACAGTGAACTAGTTCTTTTTCTCGATTTCACCATCTTGAGCGGTGCAGAGAGCCCGTACGCACTCTGATGATCCTCATCTGAAGTATTAGAGGCGAATTGCTGGAACCGATTCATGGCAAACACAGCAACCACCACACGTCGAAACGTTCGTTGGCGTTGTCGTTCTTTAGTTTTCTCCTCATTCTGAGTTGCAGCTGGAATCATCTCCTTCAACACTTGGCCAATACATTCCATCTGTTCATGAGCTTGAGCAAACTCGGCGTTTTCGCGAATGAGGTATCGCTTTTGAGATAGTAAATCACTCACTTGAAGAATGAGTGGTTGCACTACAAGAACGAAAAGATGCAGGATCGTAGCGAAGACAGGAAGATCCTCTTCAAACCCGTCCACTAGCTGCTGCAGTTTCGCGTTGTTCTCTTCTTGCTGAGTACTCTTAACGGATTCCTCCTGCAGCTTCGTCTCCAGCGCTTTTCGTTCACTATCTACATCAGCAATGCACTGCTCAAAGTGGAGTTTTTGCTCCTCAGCGTTCTTGCTATGGACACGCTCAACCTCCTCCAGTGTCTCTTTGAACTCATCAGCTTTAGCTGCTATCTCCTTCTCCAGTGACTGAACTTGCGACTGCGCTTCCTTTACGTCATGAGATAGTTTTTCACTCTCTGTTCGCCAGTTATCTCTCATGGCCACAAGAACACCAGCATCCTTTTGAAGCGCAGCAAATGCCCGCGTAAGTGGCTCACCACTGACAGCCTCCGGTTTATCCCAAGACTCGTCCGCGTCAAGAGCGTCATGTATCTCCTTCCGTGCTCGAAGAACAAGCTGCCCACATTTTTTCAGCTCTGCTTCCAAACTCTCAATTCTCTCGCAGTTCTGCTCGCTCCACTTGAGCACCTCCATCTTCTCCTTACTAACGATATCACGTGCCTGTTCCGCCAGTTTACACTGCTCCCGCAATTCCTTCATCTTTGCCGCATCTTCCGCTCGCAAATGCTCCAACTCAGTTACATGCTCGACGGCTAGCGTCAGTTTGCTGCCTTGCTGTCGAACAAGATGTCGAGCTCGTTGGAACTCGTGCACAATGTTCATAGTCTCGTTTCGTAGGGCTGATATCGCAGCTTGAACCACCTGAAGATCTGGCACTTCACATGATCGCCCTGTATCCACTTGAGCTTCCAATGACGCGTCATCGGCTTCACTCGTGCCGTGAAGAGCTCTTTCAACGTATTTACGCAGTGCTTCGGCTTGCTTCTGAGCTATGTGTGCTTCTTCAGCAATCTCTGACTTTAGCTCCTTGGCTACTGCTTGAGCTTCTCCTAGGCGACTCTCAAGAGCTTCGTACTCCTCACGTAGACTGCCTATCGTAGCAGCGTCGCTTTTGTGCTTGGAGACGTGTTCCTCCAGCTGAGCAGCAAACCTCTGCAGTTGGTCCTGATAGCCTTGCTTGCGCTCCTTCCAATGGTCCTGGAAGAGAGCTAATTGTTGCTCCAACTCCCGCTTCTTGTCCAGTAGCAGAGCGTTTTCCGCTCGCATGCGCTCCAATTGCATTTGCAGATTGCTGCGCACAGACTCGACTTTCTTGCGCTTCTCACGCTCGTGTGTATGAGTCTTCTGTAGCGCCTCCATGCCTTCCTCCATGCGCTTTACACAATCCGCAGCGGACGTTTCGACTGACTCGCACTGTGTAGTCTTCTCCTCTATCGTCGCAGTTAGTTGGGCGATCTCACGCTTTGCATCTTTGAGTTTACTACGCCGGTCAGCAACTTCTGCTTCTAACGCTGCAATAGTTTTCTTGTAGAACTCGATTTCTTCTCCACTGCGCTGTTCCTGTTGACGAAGCTGCTTCGTGTTGCGCTTCCAGCGCTTCACTTCCAGTACTAAATCTGAGATCTCCAGCTGTGATTCGGATTGCAACTGGTCTCGTGCTTCACGTGCTTCTTGTACAGCGGCCTGGAGATCGCGGATCTCCGCTTGGGCTGCTGTGAACTTCTTCTGCGTCATCTTCAGCTTGTGTGTCGTCTGTGCTGCCGTCGCTAGACTCGCTTGATCACGCTGAGCTCTAGCGTCCAACTCGCTTACTTCATCTCGTAATCGCTTCGCTTCACGCTCTCGGATCTCGTCACGCTCTTTTAGCGCCTCGTTCCGCTCTCGCAGTGACCGAGCTTCTTGTCGAAAGCGATTATTCTCCAATTGTAAGCGACGCAAAAGTTCCAATTGACGGCGTAATGCGTCGTTCGATGCTTCTTGTTGCTGCATTTCCTCCAGAAAGGCTGTCGGGGCCTTGGAGTGGACTCCAGTACCCTCAGGTGTCGAACTGTCACCATTAGATAACCGATTGAGGTGGAATTCGACTCGTGCTTTCTCCTTGATGCGACGGAGCATGTTTTGAGCATGAGAATCATCGTCTTCATCGTTAGTGTCGTCACTAGGGAGTGGAGAGTGGCGATGTCGATGGCCTTCGTGTGTACAGCGAGTTCTCTGCCGTGACAATGGGCCAATTCTCACGAGTTCCTCCTTCTGTAAGCGAAATTTTGTGTTAGCAGTGTTGATTAGCTGTCTGGGAGAGCTGACACGTTGTCTGACGAACGGATCATCACTTGACTGGGGCGAATTACTGTCCATTGACGATGGAGATGACTCCGCGCGCAAATTCTCGAATAGTTTCCGCTGTCGGGCGTAGTGTGCTTGCTGCTGCTTCAAGTTACGCTGCAGTCGAGCTTCCATGCGCTTTGCATCACGATCTATCTGTGTTTGTCGAGCTCGTACTTGTCGCTGTAGCGGAGACTCTTCTTCGTCTTTACTTTTCTGTTCTTCTTCACCATCGTTGGTTCCAACTTGATCGTCTAGCGCTCTGTCCAGCGATAAATCGTCCAGTCTCAGCGTCAACTCAGGTGAAGGAGGTGACGTCGATGATTCCACCATTCCCTGTGCGTTAGATACAGCTGGAGGATCAACCACAGTCTCCTTTGCTTCGTCCATTGGCTCCGAGTAAGTGACCTGGTCAAGTAGTTTCTGAGACTCTTAAACTGCCGACACCCTCACGTCCTGTCACCGAAGTGTCAACCGCTGGCGCAACGGACGAAACTACAGCAGGATCAGTATTTGTGCAGAGCATGAAACAACCACGTACTTGGAACGGTGCAGCGGGTTCTTAACAGCCCACTGCACCAACTGATTTCGTAAGCTCGACATGTATTTGCGTTTTGGGGCAGAGTATCAGCAGAAGTTTTCGTCTAAGGTGATGAAGTGTCCAACCGCTGACTCTGTCGTCTACAAATGTACACACTCGACTTGGGCGAATGCAGATCAAAAGAGCGAGAAACTACTACAGACCTACGTCGACCCTCGTCTAGTCCACATCTTCCACCGACGAAGCGCCGGCCTTCCGCTGACGCAGCGTCGATTCCTGCTCGCTAGCATCAGTCTTGGAGAAGCTGGCCAAGATCTCGACCACGTCGGCGTTCTCTTCGCCCTTAGCGACTTCAGCCGCCGTCCGGCCATCGGATGCCTTGATTGCCAGCAGCTGCTCGCGCTTGGAGGCCGAGATGCTGGACAGCAGAGCTTCTGCAGCCTCCGGTCGGCCATGGAACGCGCTCCAGTGCAGTGCGGTCCATCCGTCTCCGTCCACAGCAAGCACATCGGCTCCAGCCTTCACAATCTTCTTAATGAAGTCGTCCGTGTCCACGGGAGAGCCGCAGGCCACCATGAGTGCAGTCCACTGGTCCTCGTCCGTCTTGGCGTTCACCTTGCTCTTGACTGCAGTCCAGAGCGCGTCAAAATCGGCGTCGGCACCAGCCGCCAGAGCGTCAGCAATGGCTTCTTCGGGTGTCAAGACCGACTTCTTGCTCTTAGTAGACGCGTCTGTGCCCGTAGCAGTGACCGTAGTGGCCGATCCATCAGCCGCCGCAGCAGCAGCATCCTCGGCCGACTCTCCCTCGAGACGCTCGTTCCAGATGCGGCCATTGCGACGACCCAGAATGTAGGCCTGTACGAGAGGGTTGTCCCATAGATTCATGGGCATCATGACGCTCTGGATCATGACCACGTGGTTGACGCCCATCTTGAAGTGGATGAGCGACGAGATACCTGCGCCAATTAGCGTCTGCTTGATGAACTCGTTGGCCTTGGCCAGTTCGTGGGCCTCGTACGTCGTCTCCGTCAGCTCTCCGTAGTTGGGCGACTGGTCGAAGGGCGACTTGACGCCAGGCACGAAGATCTTGCGCGTGTCGTGTTTGCGCTCGATGAGCTGCTTGAGGTAGAGCCCAACGAGCAGCGCCGTAACTTGACACACAAAGAATGCCGTACGCGCAGCCATGAGCGTCGTCTCGTTCTCAAAATCGATCTTGCCCATGAGGAAGATCATGGGCAGCATGATGAACATGCGCATGGGGCTCTGCTTGCCAGCCATCACGGACGCTGACGTTTGGAGGGGGCGGCGAGACGAGGAATGTCTGTGCTTCGGTGGCGATGGTGTGCAATCATTTGAGGACGAATAGCTATAAATATGTATGGTCATGTTAAATGAAAACGAAGCAGTTTATTGGTGGAAAAGTCCCTCGCTAGTCGACGTTCAACAGGAAAGACAGAGCAAGCCGAACGTCTCGAGGGCTGCTGACGTCGCTGCCGATGTGACCGCAAGCGGAGATGTGAGCATCTTGGAGCACGATGGCGACGTCTCGGTAGCTGCCTAGTACTGGGTGTAGCGCCTCGACGAGGTCTAGAGACTGATCGTAGCGAACCACTTGACCTTCATCGTTGAACTGCAGCATCAACGTCATTGGCACATGAATTCGCTGGTTCAGTAGGAGGCTGCGGAGGCTTGCGTGCTGAGGCTGCAGGAGATGTGGGAAAACGTTCTGGAAAGTGGTGGACACGAGATCAAGCGACATGGTGAGCTGCACCCGGCACACTGACTCGGGCTCGTCGTCGTGAGTCACCAGCTCGAAGCTGCTAGGGACCAACGCCAACGCCCCAAAGAACGTCGTGTAACGCCGCCATTGCTCGAGAAATGAATTCTGGCCATGCATTTCACCATGTCGAACGTCTGGATGGATCGACTGCTGGGCGAAGCGGATATGCTCTTGCTCCGGAGAGACGCACGGCAGCCATGGCGCCTGTTCTGTCGGTGAAAAACCCGAGTGGAAGCACCGAACGAAGCTTTGAGCAACCTGCAGGATGTTGGATCTAGCAGCTCCTGTCCAAGTCGGTAATGAAGGCAAGAAACTAGGCGTTGATCCCGCGCTCTGAAGCTGATGGAGATACTGCTGCAATTGCCGCACCTCAGTCTGCAGTGTCGCAACAGATGCCATGAGATCGTTTTCGTATTGGCGTTTCTTCTGGAGATATCGCAACTGCCTCGTGCGGGTTAGTGCGCGACGTCGCTCGATCCTCTCCAAGTCACTGCTGGTAGTGGCAGAGTTGCTGTCGCCGGAGCTACTGTCGATGGAGTTTTCTGCAAGATGGAATGGACGCAGATCAATAAGTAATATCCCGTTGTTGCATTACAATAAAGAGCTCATGCTGTTACCTTGATGAAAATCTGCCGGTGTCATCGTATTGAGTAAGCACGAAGACGACACACTTGCTCCCGTGCCGTCACGTTGGCTTTTGCCCGACAGGGCCTTACGAGAATCACTGCGCTATGCTCGAAGAAGCTCATGGAAGATCACAACGCTGAGTGTCTTGTCGGTCACTCATGTACAAGAGAAACGGTTCGAGTGCAACGTGGACAAGCTTGCGCTCCGAAATCATCACGGTTCTGCTAGTACATGTGAATATAAGCTTGCAGCGGAAACGATTTAATCGCTATCGTCAATCAGCTTGGCAGGTGTTCGGATGTATACTGTTGTATTCGATGGCATTAATATACTGATTGTAACACAAATTGAATTGACTCACTCCGCTGAGAAGCGACGGTGAGACTAGCTGAAAACAGAAGTCACGTATAGCCTTTGTCGAGCGGATGCGAATCACGAACATAGTCGTCGCCCATGCAGCTGTGGGAAGGAGGCTACGCAATGACGTTTTTCTTTGGTAGTCTGCTAAGCTGAAAAATATCCTGGATACTCTGATTCTCGCAAGAAAAAATAAATGACTGGATAGCTGATCCTCGTGGTAGCACTGCCAAATTAATCGTCATGAACGAGAATCTGATACATCTGGGCGATATGCATCGCTGGCTCCTGAGTCGTGTTCATGTTGTCTTCGCTTTCTAATTGCTCGTGCTCGGCTGAAGCCTGTTCTCGTGGTTGGGAAGCGCGATGCCCACTATTAAGTTTCGGCGTTCTACATGGTGCTAGTCGTTAGTTTTTCTTAAACTTCGAGTACGTGGCTACATCTACTTCATACTTACCCACTGTCAACTGCTTTGATGATCCAGTACAAAATTGCAGAGCTCTCTTCACGTAGAGTAGTTGGCGGATGAGCAAGTCCCCTATGGTTCAGCAATACCCAAACGTTAATTATCATGTGTCGGATCATGATCATCAGTTAGAAGCAATATCATCTCACACGGGGACCTCCATTCGATCCAACCGCAGCAGCGCAGCTCCACTTCGATCGCTAGCCGATCGCTTCTCTGAAACTTTCGTAATGTGGCTGGAGACTTTCTCCTTAAAAGATTGAGGGGAGGGTATGGATGCCTCGCAACGACAAATTGGGGTCCGTCTCAACTGCTCGTGAAGACGACTAAGCTTGGTGTCGGTCTGGTCTCCCCTCGTTTGGAGATCATCCACCGCTGCATGTATCAACTGTAACTGGGTCTTCACGTCGTCAAACCGTTCGGTGATGTAGTCCGTGTGCTGCATTCTCAGAGGGAACACAGCGGGCTGTGGGAGCAGGAGTTGCTTGTCTGTGATCTCTTGCTCCAGGCGAAGTCTCTGTTGCAGCCAGCGCCACAAGCGGGACCCAGCACAAAGCAGAGCCTCTTCCACGTCCTCATTTTGGTGGTAGCGACTCAGAATACGCTTTGCGGCGCCTACAGCGTATCCCTTGAACTCGAACACGAGCTCCACGCTCTGGAAGATTAGCGACTCGCTGAGCATCTCTAGATCCACGGGAGGAGACCGCGCAGCTTCGGAGGTAAAGAGCGAAGCTCCAGAAGGCATCAGGAAGTGTCGTGGCGGTGCGGAATGCCAAGAGTGAATGTCACTTCAACTTCCGTCTTTGTAAGAACCAAGTTGAAGAAATTGAAGAGATTTCAAGCGTTGAATCATAAGTTGCTGGGAATGAGGCTAAACAAAGAGATTACTGCTGGATTGATTCATGCCTGCTTGAAGTAGGCCCGGTATTTTTTTTGTATTGTACTCGATTGAACTAAACTAACTCATTTTTTTTCTTGCCTCTGGCCACTGCTCGTCACTTGCATTTCGGTGCTACGCAATCTTGTTCACACGGTGCACGATCTGCACACCCGCCAGAGCCTCGATTGCCACCACCACGAAACCTTCCACATCACTGCCTGGGGCATCTGCAAGTGCGGCCTGCGGGTCCAGCTCGAACTCAAGAATCGTCACGCCCTCGCTCTCCATGTGTAGCCCACATTTCTTGATCTCGACCTTCCCATTGCTTACTTCAGCGATCACGTCGCACACTTGCTTCAATAAATTATGGTTGGGCAAGCGGCGCTCACCACCGTCCTCGCCACTGCAATGCTCCATCGCAGCCTCAACCTTGAGCGAAAAAGTGGTTGTGGCTATCGCTTCAAGAGGTACACCGGCCATCAAGTGGTCAATACCTGGCATCAAATGCGCGGCAGCCACAGCTCTCGCCATATCCAGATTGCGCGGCGAGCGCACCACGTCCATGGCCTTCTGAGCAAGACTCGTCTCGTACATCATCTGTCCCCATTGAACAACTTCATCGGCGGTTGGTCGAGTGGTCGGGTCATGGCTCAACAACTTACGCAGCATGTCCAGAATCTCAGGGCATCTCTTGGCAGCGCGAAGACCAGCAGGGAATATGCTGTCTCGAGCATCACGCAGAGTAATATACCGCTCCATTGTTGTTCCAAACCGCTCGTGGCACAGCTCGAAGAGGATCATTCCGAGCGAGTAAATGTCAGTCTTGGCGTTGTACTTCTTGCCAGCAACCTGCTCAGGACTTGCGTACAGATACGTGCCAACACCCGCTGTGACCTCGTTGCTCTCTGACATGTTGGACCACATCGATGTCGACAATGGAGTTTCCCGAAGACCAACAGAAGATGGAGGACCTTGTTGGGTATCGTCCAGAGAAGCGGATGCATTCAGGTTGTTGACGTTTGCAGCGTAGCGCGATAGTCCAAAATCTCCCAGTTTAATTTCATCCCTCTCAACGTCAGCAACGAATATGTTCGCTGGTTTCAGATCGCGATGAATCAGTCCGCAAGAATGCACATGTGCTAATGCACTGGCAATCTGCACGAAAATCTTCAACATCCTCGACAATTCCATTGGACGTGTAGGCACAGCAAGGTAGTCGGCCAAGTTGCGACCAGCACAGTACTGCATCTGAATGTACAGCCAGTGGTCGCACTTATCTGCTGCATTAAACGAAGAGTCTTCGTCACTACCATGATCACCTGGAGAGCGGGACGACGACATATGAGAAAGCGCGTTTCTTGTGCGTGGCTTATTCTGCACCACCAGATCTTCTTCCTTCCACCCGTTATCATCTTCCACACCAGAAGACGACCCTCGATCCCAGTCAAAGCCATCGTCATTGTCACTCATCATGCTTCCGTTGCTGTAAAAAGTCTCTAACTGCCGCTGGTTTCCTGAAAACTCGAGCTCGGAAATCGGTGCAAGCAAATTACTAGTCGAGTAGTTTTTTGCATTGGCAAGACCACCGAAAGAGCTTGTGTTGGACGAAGCCGAAGCTGGGGCTACAGACGTTCTCTTTGTGTCCTCTTCAACTTTCTCTAACCACGCCTGATAGTACCGCACAATGTTCGAGTGATCCAATAAAGCCAGAATCTTCACCTCGCGCAAGAATTTCTGCAAGGTTTTGGATGTCTGATTCTTGAGGTTCAACCCAACGCGCTTGATCGCATATTTGCGTCCATCCAGGCGGTTTTCAGCGAGCATGACTTGACCAAAACCACCCTTGCCAAGTGCTGACAGTTCTTCAAACTCATTCACGAACCGACTTTGACATACAAACGGGAAGAGAACCTCGGCCTCATTTGGAGTGGTACCTGACTCAGCTGAGGATGATTCAGATGACTCCAGAGCGCTGGACTTTTCCTCGCTCGACTTTTCATCTGTGGTGATATCTTCGCGCATAAAGCTGAGGGCATCGCTGCCATTCGACTTGTTCATTGCGTGGCTGTTACAACTGTCACTGTTGCTGCTGCAACTTCCCGTTGTCGACTCTCCAGACGAGCTAATCGATTTTGCTCCATTCGTAGTTGCTGCAGAGTCCTCGCCTTCAAAGAAGATATCATCGTCCGAATCTGCCAGCTCGAATCGGTCATTGTCGAACACGTGATCAGAAGCTGGAGACAGGAACTCTCCGTTGTCTTCAGACAGCATTTTCACCTCATAGACGTCTGAAACATCTTCTTCCGACAAAGATTTATCCCCAGCGTACGGGAGAGTGAGCCGTTTCCTGTCAGCAAGTGAAGCTCCCTGGTTGGAAATACGGACAGTTGAAGACGAAGTAGAGACACCTCTGACAATCATATCAGTCAGGGACGACGCAGAGGATAAAGACGTGGCCGTAGTTGCATTGGAATCAGCATCTGGATCAACTGGTAGACGCTTCTGCTTGGCACCGATACGACCACCATTGAGAAGGATCGCTGCAGCTTCATTGGCGGCTAAGCGGGAGAACTTTTCCATCAGCATAGAGTCGGCCGCTGGAGCAGCGTTGGCGTTGAGTTCGGTCGATAAAACATTCACAGGCTCGCCATTCTCCAGCAGTGGCACCTGACCATCCACACCTAACGCGTTCATCATGAGCGAACGACTGATCACACTAGAAATGGTGATGTCGTCCTCTCCTGGTCGCTGGATAATAAGTCGGTGGACATGTGAGGTAAAGAACTGACTCTGGTCCATAGTCTTGATAGCTGATTGCGCTATCGAGGCTGATAAGCCCTTAACGTAGCAGCCCCAGGCTAACAAGATGCCACAGGTCGCTACACCCAGCAACATTGCCCCAACATGAGTGTACGTGATGAACACTCCCCGCTTGCCATCGTTCACAATGGGCTCCCAAAATATTCTCCGACGACGGTGAGGATCCATCTCTTCATGAAAGTCGTGGACATTGTCGGCTTGTCGTCCATGAAAAGTTGGCGAACCATGTGCAGCTTGGTTACTGCCGTGATCCACCACGCCGTCGTCTTCACTGGATTCGAGAAAGTAGTTATCCCCCAATACACGCAGCCTGAAACTAGATTCCATGGCGTCCCATGTGCGCGAAACCACACGAACTAGTTGGTTGTGAGGCTTGGACTCCTGCTTACCCTGTACTTCAACTTCAGCAGCCGTCAGTTCCTTATTGTTGCTGGCATCAAGTCGGTTTTGTCGCTGATTCAATCCACTTTCTGTAACCTGAGCTGGCGCTCGTGATCGACTTGTAGCAGTTGAAGACGGGCCGTCCACTTTCCACTTGTAGAATGTAGCTCCACGCGTCGTCGATACTCCGTACACAGCGAGGACATCGAAGTCTGGGATCTCAAATTCCCACAGTTGCTCACTAGTCCACGGATCAAACGCCACAATGGTAGATCCTTCGTCATCTAACGCAGAGTTAGGATCCTTCGGCATCACAAGAATCTCAGGAACCATGTTGTTACCGCTATCTCCGACAGTGCAATGAGCCTGTTGCGCGAAGTCCAGGAAGAACTCGGAGATCTTGAAACAGCGGGCGGACGAAGCATTCCGAGGGTGAACAGCTCGTGTCGTAAACTCTGAGCGGCCAAACAGAATCTCCCTAGCCATCACAGACGATGTTGTAGACGACGAGTAAGGGCGACGAAAGCCGCTCATGGCATCCAACGTAAACATCTCCAGTTTCTTCTCACCGAACAGCAAAATATCCGCTGCAGAAGAGTCCACAGTAGGTCCACTAGTCGAGCTCACAACCACACGCGCGGGACCATTCACGTTGACGAGATCAGCCATAGTCATCCCTAGTTCTTTCACTTTGCTCTTGGAAAAGTGATACAGCCTGCCATCATAGGACGGTACCAACTGTGACATAAAGGCCGCGCTGGCTGCCATCGCCTGCGCTGACGCCGACTGCTGTTGAATCACCGAACGATCCTCCACTTCGTTGCTTACTGCACCTGTTGTCGAGACATGGACGCTTCCGTCGACGTCCACGTCAGCTTCTGCCTGTTCGTGCTGCGTAGTACTCGCAGCTGCCGAGTGATAATTGGGCGGCATGCTTGGCGTCGTGGCTGGGCTTACGCTCAGACACTGTGACGAGTCCACCATAGGGCCACCAGAGTCAAAGGACCACAGGACTTCGCCAGACCAGGCGTTGACAGCATACACACGGCCATCCAGACCACCAGCCACCACTACGTCTGGGGACTGGGCCACGGCGTACGAGTATGCAGGCGCCACAGGCTCTCGAGCATCGACGACGAACCCTAGCGACAGCAGCAGCACACCTAATGCGACGAGCAGCAGCGCTCTGCGTCTCGTCCATAGTCCACAGTGACCATCACTCTTGATCATAGTACAACACGTGACACACCGACGATATATGGAAAGCTTCCGGTTCCTGTTCCTGGGTCCAGCCGCGAGGGCGGACGGACACGCGGCGCGTCCGCAACCGGCAAAGTAACGAGAAATGGCCACGGAGCAAGCGCCGTAGCCGATGGACACCACACGCGACGGCAATCCAGATACACGCTCGCCCTTACTCACTCACTCGAAAGGGGGCGAAAAATACTGCTTCTTGATGCTGGACGCGCCCCGACTCGACTCGACTCGACTTCCGCTTTCAATACTGACACCGAGTGTCTTCTCCCAAGACGGTGTACGTTACACCGTAACACCCGCATTGTCGAGCAGTAATCTCTAGATTTTTGTATTGGAGATTTATTTATGAATAGCCTGTGTTTACCGATGTAAGCGATTTGGAAGACATTTATAACAAAATAGGAACATTGCAGTTTGACTTTTGATATCCTGAATAAAACGGTGATTACTTAAACTGCAGAAATGAAAGCGGTATTAAAGTGCACGGCTCTGCAACAGCTGGTGTTCGACGACGACGTGCATGCGTGTCGAGCGGCAATTTGCTCGAGCGTAGAGAGCTTCGGGCACCGCTTGCCAGGTGACCTGGTGCTTGGGGAGTGGATAGTACTTGGTACTAATACTCGTCCTTGCTCGTTATTGAAGCTCCCTAGCTCAACGTATTAGGCATGTACTTCCCACGTAGAGAGCCTGAACATTATAATCCGCATTATGTAAATACGAGTCGTTGGAGAGAAATAACCGTGTCATGCTGCTGGCAGTAAGCTGAAAATCCAACACAATTATACTGGTTTCATGTCAACATGGTCCGCCAGTGTCGCAGCGCGTTGCCATCAACGTGGAGCTGGATTTGTTGCGATCGTTGAGCCTTCCGTCCACCAATGATCAGTTGACAACTGGCATGAGCGAGTATCCGTTCGGAGCGGGTTTCATTACTGCGATGACACACATCGGCTCTGAACGCAGGAAGCAGTTGAGTATATATCACATTATCGTGTAGCGATGAGATACACATCTAGAGCAATTTCCACTTTTTTTATTTTCTTAGCCGAGATTGAATAAATTCGAGGATTCTGTGCCGTCATGCTGATAAGCTGTCGCAAGCAGACTCAAACAACTCTTCAACGGGGGCCCCATCCTCGACTGTGAGGGCCCCCGCGTCGAGTTCGTCACCTGATCAATCAAGTTAAGTGGAGTGCCCTCACTGCCCGAAGCATTCTTTCAAAACGGTGGCAGCTATTCGTTTGACTACTGATACTGCTAGGAACGGCACGACCTGAACGACGGGGCAGCAAGTCATGATTGAAGAGTACTTGAGCAGTGAGACTGCTTTGTCGTTGAGTTACTCGAGGTTTTGAAACAAGAATTAAAAAAAAGAAGGTAAATCAGTTGATCCAAAAAATTCTGGAACAACTCGGCGTTATTCAATTGGAACTCCTAAGATATCACTGTGGGGTAATAAATGCTATTAAATAGAAATAGAGCTTCGACTGGATTACATTGAGCTATTCTAACAGATTATATTCGTAATTTATCAATTCAAATAGCGATAGCACACTCGACTGGAGATGCTCTCATGTAGGTTTTAATGTGTTGGCATGGAACCTGTATGTTCGCTTTGTGGCGAATTTTTTCAATTGTTCGCCTTTTACGCGTTGCCGTTTACTTACGTCTGAGCTTAAAAACAGAAAATTGCCGTTTTCCATTGCCTACTTCCGTGCTTGACTGGCAAGGTTATTGCCCCAGAACCATTAAAATAATAGAGTATTAATTTCTCGGCATCCTGAAAAAAAAAAGAACTAGTCTGAAAAATGCATTTTCGGGACCCCTGGAAAAGGCCCGACGATAGAGCTGGTCATGTTGACACAGGTGCCTAGCGCGTCGTGCGGAAACGGTTTGTTTTCTGTGTTTTAAAAGTCACAGTAAGAATAGGTAATGCAATAGCTCCCGTCCTTACACTGCGTACCGCGCCAGTCTTATCCGTGGCCAGCAGACAGTGTCCGGTGAACAAGCTTAGCTGAGCGCTCTACACACGCAGTAAACACTCAATATACACACAGCACTTCAGCTCGCTACTCGTACGGTCGTTTAGTGTTGACAAGTCTCCGGTGATCTACAGGTCGGCCAGGGCCGCGTCGCTGGCTAATCTACCGCCGGGCTCAACTACCAAGAGGGCTAAACTACCTCAATAAGACTGTCCGGCACCTGGAGGGTAGGCTGCTGATACTCCTCTTCGACCACTACGGGGCTGCTGATACCCGTGTCCCACACACACTAGAGACTCGTCCAGAAAACTACGCACACCACTTCTTCTCGCTCTGCTGTGGTGTTGTAATTCCCACGGCAGCTCTAGCTACTAGTGTAGGTAGGATAAACCCACAACAATACGTCTACCAGAACGGCAAACGATCGTTCGGGCGTGATCTGAAGACCCA